AATTTCTATGCTCATAGACGATAATCCTTTTCTATGCATAATGCAATTCTTTAATGTTACCCTCAACAATGTTTTTAAGTATGTTCTATGATGTTTTATTTTTGTTATATTCTCTTTTAGTTTAATGAGACTTCCGTAAGGTCTTCATTTCAACATATTAAAATGGTCTGTAATTAATACAATAATAATGAATATCGGCTTAGCACCTTTCTAGGAACAGATGACAACTTGACTGTTCTATTGTTGAAAATGAAGGAGCAATAGAAAACTACATAAACGAGTCCCAAAATAATAAAAATTACTACATTACTTACCAGAGTCGCCATTGGTTCTATTTAAGTTGAGATCCAAAATTTTTCCTGTAGTCCCCGCACTAGTCGCTTCAGGAAGGGTGGGGTGATTAACGTCTAAGGGCGGTTCATTTTCTGAAAGTTCATTAAAAATCCTATAGGGGGAAAAAGCAGACTTGAAAATACCCCATCAGGAGTGACAATGCATTTGTAGAAAATATACTACAAAGTATATTTTTGATACAAGGAAGAAACTTATTTTGAAAAACTAAAAATTTGATTTGCCAGTATCAAGTATTTCAAATATCTATTAATAACATAATAATTAAAAAAAGACAAGTCAATGTACTAGAATACCACTTTATTTCAATTTAATTCTAATTTAAAACACTTTATTTTACATACAAGGAGACAATGGTCTATTTGCAGACTATTACATCAACAAAGCTGCATCTAATAAAGTCAGGCGCATTGTTCCACTATTTTTAAATGTTACTCATTATAAATAGTAATATCACAGCCTCTTTATTCTTTTGTAATACTATAATTATGTTCATATTCGATTTATATAGTACTGTTGATTATTCAATAATAAAATTGCCAAAAATATCCCGTCTTTTATTACTGACGCAAAATTCCAAGCGATTATATAAAAATTGCATTTATAAGCAGTTTTAATATCATAAAATTTTATCATTTAAATGAAAAAGGATTACTAGAGATCCTATGATTTAAAAATGAGATAAAACGTTAAATATAATCTGGGAAAACCAAGATCATCAGATACAAAATAAATAACTTTAAAGTTAGAAAAAGGTATGAACAAAGCAGAATTTTTGAAAAATTTTAAAATGTAATTCAATATAGGCTAGGAAAGTTGTTTTAACATCAATGCAAATAACTTTACTAAACAGGAGCTGTGTCGATTAGTGAAAATTAAAGTGGTCATATTTTGTTAATGAAGCATAGAACCTATACCATTTTTCTAGGCTCTCATAGAGAATTTTTATATTGAAAAAGATTCAAATGAAAATTTGATAAGTATTTGATGAAAGGGCTGCACATATATTTGCAAAATATTTATTTTTGCATTAAAAAAATATATGAAATATCCTCTATATAGAAGGGACACTCAATATCATACTGCATGTTACCAAGGAAGTACCACCTAGCACATATGCAACTAGATGATGTCGAAAATTGGTCATATATGATGGCTGTAACCCGTTGAAGCATAAGTAGCAGTATTCTAGTTCAAGTCTTCCTGTATCGATGGCGTGGCAATAATAAAAAATGTTCTGATACCTGGAATGTGGAAATGCAGTCCGTCTGAAAGATCGTTAAATTTTGAGTAATTTTTGTAATATAAAGTTTTTCCCAATATTTACTTGTTTTCGAGACATGTTGACTTCAATATTATGCAATGTATGATGTAACAGGAAAATCTATTATTTTATCTAAATCACACCGAGACAAAATATTCTTTTAAAATATTGTTATGACTTTATTCACACCACATCCTAACTAACAAATAATAAATTATAAAAAAACGAATGATCAACTACAGAAAAAAATTGTACAATGGTAGATCTTATAACTAGTATAGTTAAAATTAAAGACGTAAATTGATAAAACTGTAATTATTGGAAAACTAATATGATTGTGTCATCTGTCATACGTTTTAATTTAAACAAATGACATAAGCCACCTATGACTGCATTTTTAAATAACATTTGATAAAATATGGTTTGTCTCTGCCCCTTAGAAGATTTACCATTGTACAATTTTTTTCTGTAGTTGATTATTCGTTTTTTTATATAATTTATTGTTTGTTTGTTAGTGTGTGATGTGATGTGAATAAAGCCATTATGGCAATATTTTAAAATAATATTTTGTCTCTGTGTAATTTAAATAAAATAATAGATTTTCCTGTTACATCATACATTGCATATTGAAGTCGACATATCTCCAAAACAAGTAAATATAGAGAAAAACTTTATATTACAAAAATTACTCAAAATTTAATGATCTTTCAGATGAACTGCATTTCCACGTTCCAGGGATAAAAAATTTGTTTAGTATCGCCGCGCCATCTATAAGGAAAGATTTGAACTACCTAACAGTTCTAACTACAATTTGAAGCTATTTGAGGGACCTAACGACCTTAATATTCGGAACTAAAATAAATTTCTTCATTTCAGAGATATTGGCAGCGGGAGTGTTAAATGGCACACTCTGTATATCAAAAATTAGGCACCCATGAACTAGTCATACAAAAATAGAACACATGGTCTCTTTAACATTTAGGTAATCAGATCCACAACTATAATTTTTATAATTCATACATTTTGTTTGAAATTTCTTCACCGCAAAGTTATTTATGCTAGTCTAAAGATTATCCCCAAAAACGGTAAGTACAAGTCCCATGCTTTATTCCCATGACACGACCAGATTAATTTTTGCCAGCCATTATTGCTAACGAAACAACTTAAAAATAGAATATTTAATATTATATTAATGGATATTAAAGGAAAAAACCCAAATTTCATCCTCTAAATGGAACATGTATTCTTCTTCCTTGATTTTTCAGTTTCGTATGTTAAATCAATGGTACAATTTTCAAGAAACATCTTCCATGGCTGAAATAAAATTTATTGCTATAATTTTTGCACTTTTATGGAACACATTGTCTAACTACGCACAACATCTAGAAAAATAACACACACAAAAACAACAACACAAACATAAAACACTGAGATTTTGAATATTTGGTGACATTGATGATTGTTTACACTGAACGTTGGCTCTAGAAATGCTTAATCTTTTTTTCTCATGAATACGGGCATGTACAATAATAAATAATAAATGAGAAATTCGAAATTTTTTTATTTCTGAAAATCTTGGAATGACAGAAAACAACATTTTTATTTAAAAAAGTTTATATGTAACTTTACAATAACTTTTAAGATACAAATTTCAAAGAAAAACAAATTAAACAACACTTATTGTGTAAAACTTAAATCTACTATCACAATAAATAGATTTCACCAAAAATTCCTGTACTTATTTCTATGATTTTTGATATTCAAACTGTGTTTGTAGTAATCTCTCAACTGTTCATATGTGTGTACTGGAAGGTTTCTTTGGAAATCTATTCTCAATCGATCGATCCACAATTTCGGAGTTCTCATTAAATTGTAAAAGAAACTGCTAGTCTGTCCTAGATGTACCAGATCTTCAATTTTCAAATAGCTCATTATAAGCAACATAATCTCAGGCGGCAGCTCCTCAAAACAATTGGCAATTATAAAATTTGTTCTGAGAATCGCTTGTTTCGCAGGGTAGCACACTTCGTTTTTCACAATTCTCGACAGACATCTCAAATTCTGAAGCTTCCCTTTTCTTACATCAGTATTTGAACTTGTAAAATATGTGAGAGGATCTAATATTGTGTTAAAGTGACCATCTTCAATACCCTTTACTATGCAATTCACTATAATGTCATCGGCCACCACAACACAAGCCACTTTACATTCGTATATAGCAAATAGTGGCATAACAAAAGAATAACTGTACAAATTGCCCTTTTTCCAATTGTTTGGCAACTGATGGGAGAACTTAAGCACTCTTTGATAATTAAAATTGTAATCTTCACAGCTGTCTTTGTATTCTGCAGGAACAAAGCCACATTCGAGCATCAGAATATAAACAAGGCCTGCTAAGATATCGCTTTTGTTGGGGGTCACCTTGTTTCTTTCGTAAAACTCTAGGAGGTTTAAGAGACTCCTGGGCTCTTCTTTATATTTAAAATCCTCGAGCAATATGGGCTCCATAACTGAAATAAAACCTCAAGTTCATATCTGATCACTTCACATTTTCAGTTTCGCGGTCGCTTTTGAAACAATTGCCAGCGCACTCTAGGCGAAACGGCCTGTTGATTCTGGCACAAATAAACTGAAAAGTACTATAAAAAACGAAAATAATCATTTTGTATCATAGTTATTTCTAATATACGTGGGTATATAACTTTATTACGCAGTAGTTTAACTAAATAATGTGATAAATGCCCCTGTTAGGCAAGATATGAGTCATGTTTTGATCCATAACCTCCATAGCAAATGCTTTGTATCAACTCGAATTAAAGCTTTTACAAGGCAGACAAATCATTTTCAAACGTGACATATGTAGGCTGAGTTTAATTATGACATCAGAAAAGCCAGGCAAGCAAAAATTGTTTAAATCCGGTGCTTAGGAAACACAAAACACCATCTGTCACTTCGGCTAAACATAGCCGTCCTGAGGGGGCAACAAAGTTGCAAAGCCGAAAAACTTACCTTTATCAGTCTTATCTTCGTCCACGGAATCAGTACTTTGCACTGCACTTGGTTGTTTTTGTGTATTTACGTTATTTGATACTACACTACCACTACTTTCGGCCATCTTAAATTTTAAACTTCCATATTTGGCAACTGTTTGCCAGTTTTAAATTTAGTTCGTTCAAACATCGGCAGGGGACACCACCTGATTGAACGCGTTCGAATTTGAATATTGAATCCAAATGTCAAATTGGGATATTTCCTTTCACTTAATTTGTTGTATTATCTTTATTAGTTTATTTACACTTACTAACTTTACTTTTACTTTCAAAACGGTGAGAGGGACAAGGAAAAAAAAATTATAGGTATGTATTATATAAATAAATAAGACTCATTTATTAATACCTAAATATAGATTTATTTAACCACAAGTTCTACCACATATTTATTTTATATGATCTTCAACTGCAGTCCAATAAATCCACTCAGAAATTCCTGTAACAAAAAATAACGAAAATATAAATTTCTTAATGAAGATTAAAAATATGTATGTATATTTTTATTTTTATGAAGAAGGTAACTACATCGGAATAATTTTGTTTCTACAGCAGTCTCAACCTGTTTTTAAACCAACAGATATACTCGTCCACTTTAGTTTCAAGTACTTTCAGCGAGTTAAGGCTTACAAATGAATTGGTCAAATATCTCTGATAGTTTCAAATCAGTTCCTAACTGCTACAGAAACAGCATTTTCAACTAATGAGGAAAACCTATCATATAAGTTTAATATTCTCAATTTTGCTATTGTTACTATTGCTATTTAATACTCACTTAGCCAATATCCCATCTTTTTTCGTTAACCTTACAATACAATCGTCCGATTCACCCATGCGTCTAATAGCACCGCAAAGAGCGTAACTTTTCGAGTTTTCTGTCATTCTGCCAGTTTGAGGATCGACTTCTGCGATGCTCAATTGGATCGAGGCGTGATCCTTGGCGTGGATGATCCTGTTACTCGCAGAGCTACAAAACATAAGACAGCAGTTAACAAGTTGCAGCAACTTGTGTTGCTAGAAATTCTGTTAGTTGCAAGTTATTAGTTTTGACAACGCTTTATAACGTTCCTCTAAGTTAATGTGTCTTGTAAATTAGTGTATTACTTGAAAGAAATATACACGACAATGAAAACACGTGTTAACATAACCTCACCATTTCCTTGGGCAGTACAAGTCAACCGTTTCTCCAGCGTCGTTTTGCATGTTTGTGGTCTGAAAAAATTAAACGAATTAGATTCTACTGATAAGTAGTCATATTTCTAGTAAAATAATTAAAAAATTTACCTTGTTTTACAAGTAAATATAACCAAAATGGAGGACGAACCAAAAAGAGCGATCGGGAACCAGTGTTGCCATACCAGCAATCAGTATTATTATTTTGCAGCTACCATATCAGTCGTGTTGGTTTCACTGGTATAACCCATTCACGGATTATTTTCTCATCAAGCCCAAAAAGGACAAATAAAATATATCATTGCAACATTATCCATCTGTATATAGCATTAAATTGTGTCTTTTATTAAAAATGAGTAAATTAAAATAAGGTAAAAGTATACTCGTATGTATTAGAATTAGTAATAATTCAGGCGTAATGTAAAACAGAATACACCAAAAGTAAAATTTATAGTAAATCTTAGAAGAACCTACTCAAAAACATTAACTACTGCACATAATAATTAAAGACCTTAAAGGATAAATCCATATTTTCTTAAAATGAGATTGCTGCAAATATAGGTTTAAAAATATACCTTTTTAACTATAAAATAAACTCTCATATCGTGGTGGTGCAATAACATATGTGTTGTTTTGGCATTTCCGTTTCTTTTAAATATTAATATTTTTGTAGGTAAGTAATTTTATATCTAATAAATTAGTATTCACAAAAACGTTTTGAATGTTACTTATCACCTTCGGTCTAGTGTAAATTTAAAAATAAACACTAACTAACAACTCATCACATCTCATCCATTCTTACAACATAAATGAATTTTTGACCATATTTATATGAATATTTCATTTTAACTGAGATACAAGTATTATACTCATTTAGTCAAATGATATAACAAAAATCTGACATAAAAGAATCATTTTGCCTGAAAAATGTATAATTATATTGTCGCTCATTTTTCATTTGCTTTTAAATCAGGAACACCGAAGAGTATAAGTACCTATATGTAAATCATGTGAACATTATTTTGCAATTATTTAGTTCTTAGCCATCTACAGTACCACTACAGTATATAACAGTACTACATAAATACTACAGTAGATGGTAGATGCTTAAATTGTCCCCCATTTGCTTCTATGCAACTACATTTTTCTCGAAAATGGTACATACTTCCGAATTTCGCCAAGTATACCTTTTCTTGTCGTATACTTTAAAGTTTACAAAACCGTTTACAAATTTTGACTTTTAACATATACTTATTTTTTCGATCGTACCCCTCCAATTACCTGTATCGGTGACACTGCTTGTCGGAAAGAAACCTTTTGCACATTATTCTTAAGGCACAGTTGATGTTTACTCGTGTACAAATTTTGACATTTTTATCTTTGGCCGATTTAAAGATAATTAAGGAAAACCATTTGGAAAGTACCAACTGAAACACACTGTATCTCGAAAACAGGGCGTCTCAGAAAAAAAACGTTATATGAACTACCTCCATTATTTTCCCATGAGCAACTTGCACGCAATTTTTATTTGAAACGTGAACAGGGCACCCTGTATATTTTTTTCGTTAACAAAATTGACAGAATGGGTTATACACAATCAAACGTGACAACACTGAATTTAACTGTCAGGTGCAACTTCGCCATCTCCCGGCAAGATCTTGCACTATTGAGAATTCTCATAAATAGAAATTTACTATTTCGTTCGCTGAATAACCACTAGGGGGCACTCACTCGCCCAATCGATTTGAAATTGCCCGCCTCGGGGACTGGCTCAATATTCGGGATTCCACAACAAAACAAAGCCGTTCTCACGTCGCATAAGTGTGTTACGAGCACCGCGAGAAAGGGTACGGGTCTCGCGAAAACCGCGGAGTTGTACCGAGTTGCGTAACCGTAACAGGGAAATCGTCTCCTCGGTGGTTGGAGGAATTCTTGGTTCTTGGTTCTTCGGATTTTCTGTTTAGTCGCGTTCGAAGAGTTCTAGCGGGCAGTTATTATGGTCAGTGGTTTCTGAACTATCTGGGTCAAGCATAATTTTAGAATGTCACTGAAGGTAAGAAAACGTACCTTACTTTCTGTTCTCTAGGTGTTTATTAGTTATTTAGAATTTTGTAAATCGGAATTAGTTACTGTTTTTAATATCGACAAACGTTTTTTGTTTACTTTTTCTTTTTTAACGTAAAGGAAATAGATCATTTGTTTAGGAAAAAAATATTTGGTTCGAACCAAATATTTTGTACTACCTATATGTATTCATCCAAAAATCCGCTTTTGGATGGAGTCGTCTGGAGGTGCTTATTTTTAGTTTTTTTGGTAGTCAAATCTGTTGAGAATACCTTGCTAGTCTTTTAATTTATAATTTTTATATATTGTTTGTTTTAAGCGTTCTTTAATTTTGACATTTCGTCCAAAATTATATTATTTAAAATTACACTAAATAGGTATAGGTATTCTAAGATTACTTATTGAAATGCATAGAAAATAAAAAATCCATTTTAATTTTTGCTTCTCTATTGGGTATCTACTTTTACTTGGATATTATATCTGGTTTAGAAATTTAGAAAAGTTTGTTTACATCGAATGTCAACTGTTTCTTGAACGTTTGTTTAACTTTCTCGATATTTTCCTTGGAATATATACCATATGGCAGCTCCTAATTATTTCCATATTGAATACACCAATTTACCATTGATAAATATGTAGGTATGTTAAACATAATTATTAATTCTTCAGCCAAAAATAGAATATAATCAATAGAAACTGTCTAGAAATTTTAAAATACCTATATTGTGCGTTATTTCGTCTCATTTTAAATTTAAAGCAAAACCAATTGCTTTCTTTGAAATGTTTGTATTATTTAAGTTTAAGTAATGTGAATTTGAATTATTTTAGTTTTTCAATCAGTATTTTATAAGAATAACAAAAAATTGTTCATTTAATAATAGCATTTTAGACCGAGTCTGTTCATCTTTGTAGGATGCATCTCATAAACCATATTGATTTTATTTACTGTACTATCTACCTACACTCTTCCTGCATCTTCTCACCTACGTAAAAATGGAAACATCTCGTTAAAACTCTTGACTTTATTAGGATGGTCGCTCAACGATCATGCTTACAACAAAAAACAAAGTATTGTTATTTGTTGAATTGAATATATTTTGTAAATCAGATCATGAATAATCAACCCTGAATATGAGACCACTCTACAGAGTGTCTAAGGCTAATGGGTAAAAAAAAAACGATTTAGATCAAGTTATCTTATTGTTAGTATATTTCGGCCTTCAAGAAAAAGATTTAAAAATATTTAGGTGAAAAATAGATGTCTCAGGCTGTCAGAGAGAGCCGTAATTTAATGACGTACCAAGCGCGTCAACCGAGACATGTTGAGCCGCTGCCTCAGAATGCTTTTCACGTTCACGTCATGTTAGTATACTGTTTGTCATCGTGCGGACTTTGGTGTTTATGTTGGTGTATTGTAGACAATTTTAATTTGTTGCTTTTTAATAAATAAAGCGTACGCCTATGTTCCGTGGCTCAGTTTTGACAGCCTTTCAATGACTAAGGTGTTTTAGAAGACCTCAATTTTTTAAGGATAGAAGTGTATATTCGGGCTTGGCTATTATAAAAACTACTCCTTACCGAGTTTTATTGAAATGTCGTAAAATGTGATGGAGTTAATGTAAAAAAAATGGTAAAAAAGGTGAATTATAATTAGATTATCGCCAAATATCGCCTCTTCATAATTGTAGACTGAAGTAAACAATTGAAATCCATATTTTCTATGTTACGTTCAGCGCCATTCAATAAGTATACTTTTTTTTTATAATAAAGTAGCAATTCAAATGAAATTATATATTTTCTCAAAAGAGAAGTAAAGCAACAAAAGATTCATTCAAAAATTGTATTGAATTGTCTTTAAAAGTAATGGAATGTTAAATAATGATCTTTTTTAGAAGACTGATAACTTTTTAAGAACGCAAAATTATTCTAAGATAATGTTTATTTTTGACTCAAGTAAATTATCCTTGAATTATTGCTCTTTCGCTTCCAGACACTTGGTATATTTAAAAAAATCAATATTTCAAAATTTTTATATCTCGACAGTGACATATTTTCTATTCTTCTTATTCCCTGATTTCTTTTAGTGTTCAGTTCTAAAATATGCTGTTTGCATTTGGTTTATTTAATTTTTACTATATGCTGTATTGCTGTAATATTTTATCTATAATTTATAAAGTAAATTTAGACCATTATGCAGTATGCATGGATATACAGATGTGTTACACATGCAGGCTTTTCCAAAATAGGTATACGTGCCTTGTACAGTGACTATAAATTACTGTTTTGCATTCTGCAATCGTTTAAGGGGCAATGCAGAATTCAGTGCAGATCGATTGATGACGGTGCCCTGTCATATTTATTTATAGATGTTTCTCATTCATCCATCGTTTGTATTTCAAACATAATCAAACTTATTGAACAGATTTAGACGGAATGGTAAAAAATCTGTCGTCAGTTTTATGCATTTTTTTTTAATTGTACTATTTATATTCTAGGGAAAAAATGCACACGTTCAAAACTTATATACACAGGAGTGGTAATGTTCAAAGAATATTTCGAAATTTGGTATTGATTATTATATGTTCAAAACCCTTCTGCTACGACACTGAACTTATATTATTTTTTTGTATAATTCAACATTTGAATCAAACTCTTTTCATGACTGATTGTTGTTAATCTACGACAACCTCTTATTTATACATCACCCTGTAAATCTTAACCACAACCACATGTTTAAATGTTTTTTTAGGTACCTACATTAATTATGATGGTGGTATAAGCTGGACTACTTTCTGTAAAAAGTCAACATCAGATTTCCTCTCTTCTGAATATTATAATTCTGTTCAATTTATGTGAGGAATGCAAAATTAACCTTTTCTGGAATAATAATAATTATGTGAAAGGATTACTTTTTATTGTATGTAATTAGAAAAAGAAAATTGTTGTAAATAATGTGTGCCCGCATCTAATAATAATTCATTACATCGTGCAGAACATATTTTTTTGTGGGAAAAATATGATGTAACAGTAAAATATGGATCGTAAATCTATACGAAGATTTTGCTTGCTTGCAGATAAAGAGATAACTACGTACGGTACGTTTTTATTATATAATACTGGCTGATTAAAAATTTTGTTTTCTTTTTATGGTATGTAACGTAGGTATGGAAAATAGTTAATTTTACAAGATGTGCTCCAAAGTAAACAGGACTTTTTAAAAATAAAAGCAACAAAAAGTTTTTTTGGCGAAAATCAATTTATTTTATTCAAAATATTTCCCTTCCAACTCGATACAGCGATTTGCACGGTCTGAAAGCATGACGATTGAGTGTTTTATTTTAGTTCGTCGTCGGCCGAAATATCTTTCAGGATGTCGGTACAAACTTTTTGGATGGCTTCTACGTCCACAAAATGCTTTCCTTTCAGCGGCAAATGCATTTTTCCGAAAAGGTAAAAGTCGCACGGTCCCAAATCAGGCAAATACGGGGAGTGGTTAACAAACGCGATTTTTATTCAAAAAATTGGTCACAAGTGTCGATCGATGAGATGGCGCATTATCGTACAATAAATGAAAACTTCCTTCTGCGCGATGATCTGACCGAATACGGTACACCAAAAACTTCAGAAGGAAGATAGAATTGTGCTTTAGCGGTTTGGTCGTTGGAACGAACTCTTGATTCGAATGTTGAATTCTGAGCAATTTTTGGTCGTCAACTTGTGCGGACAACAAACTGTGCACATACTTTTCGGTAGCCCAATTGTTCGGCCAAAATGCGATAAATTGATGTTTTTGAGATGCTCAATTCCAATTCCATGAATTTCAATGAAGCGATTTTGGCTGATCTTTGATGGAATCACAGTCACAGTTTTGATGGAATCTGCGTTCATCGCGGACATCCGTTGGCCAACATTTATTTATTTATTTATTTAAAGTACACATCCAACAAGCGATGCCCATGGATATGTTAAGTCTGGTAATAAAATATAAAAAAAGTTAAAAGAGAANGGCGATGCCTAACAACAGGATATGTTAAGTCTGGTAATAAAATATAAAAAAAGTTAAAAGAGAAAAATTTACTATGAAAAAATAGAGGGAAAAAAATAGTACAATCTTACAAATAACGCAAATACAAAGAACAAAATAGAAAGGTAACAAACTATAAAAAACATATATGACTACATAAGTAAAGCATTTTTAATATCATTACCCAAACAACAAAAAAGATCGACATTATTTTCTATCTCACTGTACTTGGAAACAATTTGATACAATGGTGATGCTACTAGGATGTTACTACGTGCTGCGGGTAGACTAAGAACATTATTACTTCTAGCTGATAGTCGTGGTACTTCGATATAAATATTACTTAAAACGCCTGGACAGTCCAAAATGTTATGTAGAACTTTATCAAAAACATTACTTGAAAAACAGATCTTCTTTTAGCAAGGACATGAATATTGAAACGCTCAAGTAATAGATCATGCGGAAAACCCTGAGGGGGATATATACCATCCAATAAGTACATAGGTGATTTCATAAACCTACGTTGTACTCTTTCCAAAGTTGCAATTTGATGAGCATAAATTGGGTTCCAGACTATTGATGCATATTCTAATTTAGAACCAATAAAGGTAGTGTAGAACAATCATAGTGTAGAAATACTGATAAAGCCTTTGGAATTCCTTATTATGAACCCCATATTCTTGAAAGGAGATGACGCAATTATGTCTATGTTATGGACCAGGTGATTAATGCGGGCATTATTAATAATGTGCGGGCATTATAAATAATGTCTAGCTCTATCGGGCTAAGCGATTAATTACTATCTAAACTTCATTATTTATCACATTGCACGGTCATTATTATATTGCTACGTAACAATTGGGCAATTTGATAATAAAGTTAAATTTGTCACGGTGCGGGGAGGGAAGCACCGAATTATGCCAAATAATGAGTCTGATTGCTTAAACTTTAGTTTATTTTATGTTTTATAATAATATGTCAAAACTTCTGTAAAACAAAGATAATGTTGTGAAATGTTTGTTTTAAATTTTATATGTTTTGTGTTACCTATATTTTTAATATGACTTTCCTTAAGTTTTAAATGCAGAAACTAGTGGATTCTTAATGTAGAAGTCCTTGCTAATTAATCCAAATAATGAGTCAGATTATTTAAATTGTTTAGTTTATTTATTTATAAACATTTAGTTTATTTTAAGTTAAATGACAACAATAATAAAAAAAATAGTAATTAAATATGTTTGTATTACTCTGCCCAAAAGGTGATGGACAATATGTATAATGCCCGGTCAATTTGATAATTTGAATAATTATTGTCAAATTGCACACTCATATTGGGCATTTTACATAATGACCGGGCATTATGTATAATGCTCGATTTATCACTTGGTCCATAACATCTATATGTTTAGTAAAAGATAATGTAGGGTCAAATGTAACTCCAAGGGCCTTTTTGTAATCGGGTCCATGCAATATATTATATTATCCAATTTATAATTAAATAGTACAGAATATTTTTTTTCTTAGTGAATGTAATGATATTGCACTTGGAGGCATTTAGCGTTGAATTATTATTTAGACACCACAGACTAATGACATTAAGCGCATTCCGTAACATATAACAGTCAGCAATGGTGTTTATTTCACAAAATAGCTTAAGGTCATCTGCATACATTAAATGGTGTTCTTGTAGATAAGCCATGATGTCGTTTACAAAAAGAACAAAGAGCAAAGGTCCGAGTATACATCCTTGAGTCACACCAGATATTTGATGAAACTTGTGCGATTTAAAACCACGATGCTGAACAAACTGATACCTATTTTGTAAATACGATTGAAAAAGTTGCAAAAGTGATTCGGACACACCAAACCCATCGAGTCTGTCAAAAGCTGTAGTGAAGTCGGTGTAGATAAAATCGACTTGTTTCATCTTGTCAAATTTCTCGCTAATAAACTGATTTTTTTGGACAAGGTTAGTAACAGTGGATCTGCCCTTAATGAAACCGTGTTGCTCCCACGACAACAGCCCAAAAAGAAGTTTTTATTAATAAATTAAAGATAATTGTTAATGAGGCAACAAACGCAGAGGCACATGCCCTTATAAAAAATGCCGGTATTAAATCAGGCCCGGCTGTCATATTTGGCTTAATTTGTGAAAAGTTTAATATATTTAGCACATTAGCGTTTGATGTAGGTGTTCGACAATGACTTTTACCCGGTTTATATACGATTGTGAGAATAAATCAGCAAAACTATTAACTATAGTCTGTGGATCATCAATAGTTTGGTCATTATACGTAAGCATAGAACGAATGTGAGCTACATTTCTCTTGGCATTGATAAAGGACCAAAAACTTTTTGGATTAATTTGTATATTGCTTTCTACATGTTGTACGTATAACTTATAGGAGATGCTTATTACATGTCTTATTTGGGACCGCAGATATTTAAACTTGTTTAAGAAAGTAGTATTTCCTGTATTTCTATATTTTTTGAGTGCATTACTTTTTTGTTTAATATTTCTAATAATTTTTCCGTTGGACCATGGTGGGTAGACTTTTGAACAAATGTTTTCCTTGGAATACAGTCCTCGAAAATGTTATTCAGTTTGTCTTAAAAAGCGTCTAATGCATAATTTGGATTGGTGTATTCATTACGGAAAGACCAGTTAGTATTTAAATATAATAAAATAACATCGTACAAAACAGGGAAATTTGCTTTTTTGAAATTAAAGTTATTTTGTTGCTTTAAAGGAAAACTTCCTTTTTTTGAATATGTATTAATGTTGATAACAATAGCTGGATGATAACAGTCCTCAGTAAGAATAATATCAAGAGCCCTATCTACAATAGCATTTATGTTACATAAAACCAAATCAAGACTTTGATTACTTTTTTTACTTTGAAACGCATCTTGTATTATTTCTTTGCTCCTGGATAATTATGCTATTTTTTAACTTTATTTTATATATTTCACTTAATTGTTTAGAGAATTTTGATAATAATTATAATTATATAATTTTTTCAAGGCTTTTTTCCACATACCTATATTACCTGAATTGATAAATAAGTTTCTATAAATAGTCATAAATAAAAGTTGACAGTAGGATCGCGGAAACAATTGAGAAAACGGTATTGATTGCTTGATAAGAGTTTCCTAAATAAGTTTATCGAACGAGTAGAAAAAATGGATTGATTTTATTGTCTGCAATTTCGTCTTTCTTCTTTCTTTCTGCGTCTGTTGCACATTTTTTCATTTAGGAAATTCCAATAATGTTGGCATTAAAGTTTAAGGTGGGTTTCCCCTTGTCCAACTTACATTAAATTTTTTTTAACATTATTTGAATGGAATGAGGTTGCAATTTTATAATGTTGTTTTTATAATTGCTTCAAAATAAAATATGGACATATATACATATCTACCTACATATGTTAATGTTGTGCAATATAGTGGAAAAAAGTAATGGCGTATTATAAAATTTCACATTCAGGGTCGTGTTTATATTAAGATATTGACGTTAGTTATAACAAATAGTATTATGTTTATAATAAATCGCGATATAAAAGTAAATACGTATTTGGAATTAGCGAATTTTTAACATGTTTTATATTGTTTAATACATACATTGTGTTATTGTGTATTGTACGTTAAAGTTTCAAAATTATTGCCCGACAAATACCTACATTAATCGTTAGTTTTAAATTATATTTTTTAATATGGCCCCAAATTATCTCCCGACAATGTTAGAACAGACAATGTATAAAAAAAATAAGGGTAGCGGATAGCGGGTAGCTACGTTTAAAGAGAGTTGGTAGATATCGTGTTTTTGCAATATTTTAAAAGTCCTTGGAAATCTGGGCAATGATTTATACAGTATTGTTCAAGTTTCACATGTTGTATCCATTTTTGTTTATCATTTTATCCTTACCTTACCTTTTTATTTGTACCCCATATTAAATAAAATTTGTTTAATTTTGACAAGTACTTTAATTGTATTATTGCTTGAATAAATTAAAATCTGTGCAAGATAATTTGTACTTATTGTCAATTATTTTTTTAAATCTGCTGTATTATTTAACAAAAACGTACAGAAGTATATATTTTATAGAAATTGTGGTAGATTAGATACATTATTTCGAAACATATGCGGTAGATATTTTAATAGTCTAGAGATCAAGATATTTCAAAGTTAGATAAAAATAAACGAGTTGGGGATGAAACCAAGGTAAATTCACTTATGTAACGTGTAGGGTTTGATAAATATGACTAAAATATATTATCAATTTTCGGAAAAAGCCTCTATTATTTATATACATGCTGAAAATATCAGGAGTATTTAAGACATCCTATATATAAAAAAATGTATATTGCATTTTAACTAAGCTTGATAATTGTTGTTGTTTTTTACGAAAGAGAAAATTAATCCACAAATTTGAAGTTTTAAACTTTGCAATCCTTTCTGTCACTATGGAGAACAGATATTTCAGGATTTTTCTTTTTTTCAGAAAGAATCTCTGTCAGACGTTCAGTTGCACTTAGCAGCATTAAATGGCGACTTTCCATTACTTAGAAGGATACTGGACAGTGGCAAAGTCCATGTGGATTCAAGGGATAAGGTAAGTATTTTGAAATTAGCATATATTTAGCATTTGTTTCTGTTACTATTTTATTATTAATATTACACTGTACAAGGTATGTTTAAAATCCCCAGCATGATATATCGAAAACCAAAACAGATTTTTACTCTATTTTGAAGATATTAGCTGATTCAAATAAAAAAAAATGTAAAACATCTTTTCAAATCAACTCGTTTCAAAATGTTATTTTTGTCAAGTAAAATGTTGGTCTTTATTAAGGGTGACAGAACAACGAAATTACAGGATATATCTTTGAATAATTACGTTATTTAACAATTTCAATGTATCAGGTATGTAATTTTATATTAAATAAATTGTAATATTTAGACGTATCATTTTTTGTTTTTAATCTGGATGCTTATTTATTATTGGCTATTTACTAGATATTGCTGGTGTATTTAAGTGCTAGACGGGGCATGTAGCTCATAGAGCAGTTGTTTCCTGCAATATCAGCAATTAGGAATATTCTATGTGTAGCTGGATATCTTTTGTATAGCTAGATTTCTGTTATCGAAGAATATTGTTTGAGTTCATTTGGTAACAGAATTTTGAATAAAATTTGAATCTGTTTGATTTACAATTAGCCTAACATCTTTACAATGGAGTAAAAATTACAATAGTTGGTCGATTCTGTTTAAAAAAAAAGAAGATATATCTAAGTTCTGTAAAAATTGTTGTATGGTCCATCTAAATGACTTACAAGCTTATAGTGAATAATTTCAACCCTGAGTACAAACAGTTTGTAACAAACTACTACTTCTGAGTCGACGGAATGAATCAAAGAAATTTTTCCATGATAAACCATATTAAATTCTCAGTAACTTTTGTAATATATCCAAATCCTGAAAGATCACTGGTTTTCGAGCTATTTGAATTTGAATATACTTATATTCCTTTAGAAAACATGTTATTATAATTTTCTCAAATTTAATTTTGGGACGTAGGTGTTTTTTTAATGTTATTTTATTACACTTAGATTTTTCAACAAAACTTTTTTTTATTTTCCTAAGTTTAATAAATAACAAAATAAAAAATACAGTAAATTTTCAAAATGAAATTTGTTTCGATGCAATATATTCCATATCTTCTTTGGAATCCTTAGCAGCTAGTTGCCATGCTGTAAATACCATCTCTTGTAAAACAAACCAGCTTCTTTAGTAAATAAAATATTATAGGTAAATTAGTTTTCCACAATGCTATTACAAAGCCGAAAAAAAAAATATTATGGTGATGAAATCAAACATACCTGCTTTAAATAATTTTTATTACAATTCGTAACACCAAAATTACTAATAATATTTATTTGAAGCATGGGAACTTGATTAATTACAGAAAGAATTATCAAAAATTTGATGTTTAGTAACACATTAATAGCGATTTCCTGGTAAACGGTTACATTTATCGACGTGAGCAAAGAGTACATAATTTTTTCTGATATTGCTTCTCTTGCCAATAATTTTTAAATTTCTATGATGTCTAGCAAGAGAAGAAAGTTATGGACAAAACAAATTTTGAGTTCTAGGTAAAGTGCCCTCTAGCGGCGCATAATGAAACTTCTCTCTGACTGGTCCAGTAGAACTTCATCTACTTAGTGGGTGTGCCAAATGACGGACTATAGACTTGAATTAAATAGTTATTTAATTAGAAAAATAAAAAAATTGAACTTTGACAAGCTGTAACTTGCAAACAATTGACAATTCGAAAAAAATTTTCATTACATACTGCTATTATTTTAATCCTTAGAATCACCTCTCGGAATTTCCTGACGGACTTTCAGAACACTCTGTATACATATTTCTTTAATTTCATTAATTTTAAACAGACCACCTTCTATAGACTTGGCAAGAAATCGATGAGAACTAAAATAATAGAAGAAAAGTGTTTATAAGAATTATATTTCCAATACAACAGCTGATGATCACGTCGATACGCTTACTTTTGGGTCACATAGAAACAATGTCAAACTGCAGTTGCAACATAAACAAGTAGTTGTATTTATTACCTGTTACACAGCAACGATAAATGTTTTTTGTAGGAAATAACAGCTTCCTACGTGATAATATTTAGTCCAGATGACAGGTTAATAATGTGAACCGGCATCAAATTAGTACCAACAATTCTTTTTTACTGAAATAAAAGAACAATTCGTTAATATGAACCGATAGATTGATTAAACCACAACCTCGATTTAAAATAAAAAAACAATAATATTGCGGAAATAACTTCAGTGAAACAACAAAAAATAATAATGGCTATGGAAATATAAAAATAAACAAAATATCAGTTAAACTTCGATTAAGAGCTGCCTACCGAGCTCTATATTTGTTAGGTGTACTATTTTTAGCCTTTTGAAATCACGGTGTGGCGACAAAAAACGAGGAAACAATTGTCCCAACAAAAGCTATTTCAAACTCCGTTTCGGTCCATTTCCTCGTCAGTCACAGACCCCTTTCACTGGAAACAAACGAAACGGCTTCCTGACAGACGCGAAACCAGCTTTAGAACTTCTAATCGCCCCGACATGAGTTCCTTATTTAATTGCGGATACAGAGCTTCCGGCTTTTCAATCGAATCGCGACGAAAACACTACTAATTAACTCGATCATGTTTATTTGCTTTTTTCAGGAAGGCACGACACCTCTGATCCTGGCCGCCGCCAACGGACACTACGAGTGCGTCAAGGAGCTGCTCGAGCAAGGGGCCGATCCCACGACGAAGAGGATAGTAAGTACTTTTTGATTGTGTTAGCCACCCACAACGCGATAACCTAGGGATATACAGGGTGTTACAGATAAGATAGGAAATGTCTGGGAAGATGATAGATCTAGTAAAAACACAACGAGTTCCAGTGTGGACTGAAACGCCGGAAATTTGGGGCAAATGGATAGTTATAAGGGGGCCAAAGAAAAATAAAAACGTTAATTGTAATCGTAACTGAAAAACCCGTATCGTATGAATTTTTATTTTTGGCTAAATTTAATTTATGTGATAGTAGAAGAAGCTTTATAAATTATCATTTGGATTCTGGGCGAGTTGCATTATCTACATTTAATAATACAATTAGATTTTACTATCTTATATAAAAAATAGTTCAGTAATTGAAAATATGTAAAATTTAGGAAAAATTTGGGTAGAATTCAATGAACTACTTTACCCCACTTGCATTTTTGGGCTTCATTTTCAAAATGGCGTCCAAAGTTTGTAAAAAACATTTTTTTCATTTATAAAAAAAGAACGAGCAAGCAATAGCGGTGTCCATAAAAATGAAGTTTAATGAAAGAAAATGGGACCAATCGTTGCGGACTATTTTTTATATTGAAGTACAAGTTTTCAACTATAACATGTGTAAATTTCAGCCCTTAATATTAATAAATGAGGTCGTGGTGATTTTTTCGAAAAAAAAAAATTCTCGGATCCTGTTGGTCGTAGGACATTTATTTAAATTCGTGAAAAAATGTCAACTTTCGAATGACAGTATCGACATTTTGATAGGAATTGAAATCAAAAAGTTAATCAATGTTTTATGGCCTCGGAAAAAAAAAACGATTTTTAGATCGTTTTTTGCGATATTTGAAATCGATTTGAGACTCGCTCAATATTTGCACATATATGTAATAATTATTAAAGAAAATTTTAAGCCCAACCCAGTTCCTAAAGATGTGGCGGCCGATTTTTGCAAAAATTATAAGATATTGTTCAATTTTGAAAAAATCGTTTGATTTTGCTCACCAAAATATTTATTTTTGAAAGATAAATATAGCTATTTGAAAAAATTGCGTTTTTTTCCGTTTTTTTTTGCAGTAACTAATTAATTTATTTATCGATCAAAACCGGTTTGGGCTTATTCGATCCGTATTAAAAATTCCTACAACTTTTGTGTGAAACATTTTTTTCTAAAATGTTTAGTTTTTTTTTTTAATGAAAAAAAACTGTTTTTTGGAACTTTGGACGCCATTTTGAAAATGAAGTCAAAAAGTTCAAGTGGGATAAAGTAGTTCATTGAATTCTAAGGAATTTTTCCTAATTTTTACATATTTTCAATTACTGATTTTTGGCAAAAGAATGAGGTATTTTTGACAATTTGTTTGGACTAAAATGGGAAGTTCGTATTACCCGCTACAACTGTCTTTCTTCGTTATTAAGAAAGGCATATTGTCATGTTATGTGAGTAATCATACCGATACAATACCGATATAATACAGAACAGTTCGATAAAAAGAATTATATAGTTTATGTTCAGAGCCTTCATAAATGTTTACAAGCCACGCGACCACCGAGTTTAGGCAACCCAACATTACACGATTAGTACTGGTAACGAAACATTGCTAAATCTTGAGGTTACCAATATTCATGACTCCTCCATTTTGTTGCAATGTGGTTAAACTGGTACTTGATTTTTTAATTAAAAATTCTTTTCCAACTTTGAATCATAATGGAACCGTTATTCCAAAGGATATTATTATAATTGTAATTTTAACAGTACCTACTTATTAGATTAAATAAATTTTAATGCTGACAAAAAGAAAAAAAAATGTATAACTTAGAAAAATAAAAAAGTAAACAAAAGTCAAAAATAATTTTCATTGTTTTAACCTATCAAATACGATAAAAGTTCCAAAGGTTTGTTTAAAAAAATGACTATAGGTCCAGGAACTCGGAAACAAACTATTCGAAAATTGTTGCTCAAAATTATGAATTTTAATTTTAAAGTAGACTGCTGTCCTAGTTTATGCCAACTGATTTTTTTTAATTGCTACGCCACCTATATCGCTATTAAAGAGCAATGCCATTTTTATCCAGAATTGAAGTTCTTTTTATTAGTGCACTATACATTTTCACAGATCTTCTTCACGTTTGCCCAGTAAATTGCTGACACTGAAGAGTTCATAATAACGTGTTCTAAATATGGGCGTAGCTAGGGAGGGCAGGGGTTTGCACGGCCCACACCAGAAAAAAGATCTAATAATATCATCTTTCTCATATCGGTAGGTTTTTTTAGAATCGAACGAAACAGTGCTTAAGTTTTGAAATATTATATCGGGAAGTCGTTGATTACATTTTTTTTATTTTAGCGGCTTCCACAGAGCTTGCAGCAGTCCTGGGCCCACCCCAAGCAAAAATCCTAGCTACGCCCATGATTTTAAAATCCTTCCATTCTAAGATATATGTAGAATATTAAGTGTACACTTGAAGAACCACATTTTCTTTAATAATTATAGAAAATGTGTTCCATTCACATAAACTTGCTGGAGTTCATTATTTGCAAAACACTTATGCTCTTACAATTAGTAGCTATAGGAGTCCAAACTATAAAATTAATAAATTTTGTTTACGATCGTGTCAAAAGTCATAGTTTTTACATAATTTCCAGTGTAAAAAATTGACTTTTATCAGAGTTTATGCTATAAAAGTTTATACTCCAGGGTTTTATTACACAATTTTAGTTATAAAGTTTATCAGTACAAACGTCAGTTCATTTCACTATTCATTTTAACGTTACATCTGTTTTGCAGGTAAAATTTGCTTTTATAGTGGACAACCCTATTAGGGTTGTCCACTATAAAAGCAAATCATATACAAATTGTTGTCGAGTTAAAGATTTTATATCAAAGAACCTGCCTGTATAGTCAAATTTTAAATATATGACAAATTAACGTTAGAAATCATTTATTAATTTTTGCGTTACTTAAAAACTAATCTGACGTCATAAGGGGCAATTGAACAAGAAGCTAGTAGCGATCCTATTGCATAATTTTGAAGAAGAAGAAAATATGTCAAAATTGTCCATCAAACCCTGCTGCCCTGTTTCCTGTTTTTTAAACAAAAGTGTCACTAGTGACAGCAGTCTATCAATTAAGGGTATTTGTGATTGTTATTATTAATTTCCTGATTGTAATGGATTCAACAAAATTTAAGTGGTTTTGTTCCACATTCCACATAGCCAATTGCATTATCTCCATAAGACTCCCGAACTGCACTATAAATTTCCATAAATAAATAGGTATTTTATGTAAATAAACACAATAAAATCATTCGTTAAATATGTTGATCCTTACCTGACTGCTTTTATACCTCTGATTTCGACAAAATTAAAACGCTCGTCTCTTTTAAAAAATTCAATTCATGATCGTAAAAATATAAATTTTCGGTAAAATTTGCGAAGTAGCTTTCACAAATGCCGATTCACACATTCTGCTTTAATTATAGGGAAAGCTTTAAATGATTATTACTAAATAATAATTTTACTTAATAAAGGAATTTGAAGATTAAGGAAAATAGAAATGGACTTGAAAATATTTTATACGACAGTGTCACTGACAGATTGACACTACTGACAGTGTTGACAGAGCATCTTCTTCCAATTGTTTTCCTTTACGCAATCATTTACACATAATTTCACTACAAGGTGCCCCTTATGACGTCACAGCCGTTTTGAAATGTTATAAAAAAATCAGTTTTAAATAATTATTTTAAAACTGTTCTGAAGCATTTTTCAATCTCTAATTGTGTATACATACTAGTTACTACGTGTAGAATTATATTATCTACTTTTTGAAATTTGGTCAACAACCCTATTTGAATACAAATTCTTAGCAACTCAACTCCTCGACATACAGAGCCTTCATAAATGATTACAAGCCACGTGACCAGTAATTTTGTTTGAACAGTAATTTTATTTCCTCTATGTTAGCAATTAAATTCTGATAAAATTAAAACAATAAGATCAATTTACATTAAAACACAACATTCAATTTTTCACGAGATTCTATTCAATCAATCAGCGATCGTATTATCTCGAGCGTAGACGCGACGGTTTGTCATTGTTCATTGTAAACGAATCATTAATATTGGTGACCCAAGACTTAGGGATTTTTGTTACCACTAAATAAAATAAATATTGAAATGAAATTACGTTAATTATTATTAAGTACTATAATCACGTCTTTTCAATGACGTTGACTAGAATCGTCATAGATTCTACGCAAATCTGAAACTCTATTGCCTATTCGCATATGCCCGAGCGTAACCATAACATGCTGCTAATTTGCTGATTTTCCCTCTAGTTTTAAAGATTTTTTTGGGTCGGAAACTTAAAATTATTAATTAGTGTTCTAAATGTTGCACATTTTGTAAATATAAATAAATATAGCATCGAAAAAAGTATTTTAAAATAAGTACATTTTTGAGTTTGTAGTAGCATTGGCAACAATTCACCCAAATACTTATGTAAATGGGACAGATTTTTTTTTTTTTTTTACGCAGGCCAGCGGCAAATTTAAATAATTACTGTTTCAGTATTCCAATTATTTATTTACACTAAAAATATCTTAAACGTATTTCTTTTTTTTTAATTATTTGGAAAGAAAAGATTAAATTTACTGAAATTTATTGATCAAAATGAAAGCCACCCTTTTGTTTACGCAGACTGGAACTACGCCGCTGTTCTTCGCTGCCCAAGGTGGATTTCTGGACATAGTCCAATTCCTTTTGGACAATGGGGCACCTGTGGATTCTTCAAGCGTGGTAAGTTCTTTCAAAACACATACAGAGCGTTTATTCTACTTCTTCAGTTAGTAAATAGGATAAAAAACGACAGTAACGACATGAGTTTAACGACACATGCCTACGAACTTTTTTAAATTATTTTATTTCAGCAAAGCCATCATCATGTAACTCGAATATTAATGTGAGGAATTAAATATTATAAAAAATCTATTTATACTCTTCATTGAATTTATTTTATAAATATTTCATATAGAATTCCTCTTTTAGAAAATCTAACAACAGTGGGTCTCTAAAAATGTTTAATAAATTATGTTTGGCCATTAGGGAGATAAGTGGCCTCATGTTAGAACCTTGAGTCATACCTAATAACAAAATTATATAGGTACGACTAAGAAGGATTATTACAGTGCTTTCAATGTTCTAGTATAGATGGTAAACATCAGTCAGAGCTATAAATATAGTTGACCTGGTTCTTGCAACCTGGCCAGAAAAAATTAAAGTTTAAAAAATGGTTACGGTGCTTTACCAATAGCACGTTAGTGTAGTATGATTATTGTTTTTTTAAGAGGTTTTAATAACTCTTTTGTATAACGAACTGTTTTGTTTTAATTTGGCGAAAATTTTGTCAAAAATTGTAGCGTACAACAAAATTTTATGCAAACAAATTATGACTTATGAAGATAAAGAAGTAAATGTTTAAATACAGCACTTAATATAAGTTGCAATAAGTTTGCAATGTCTCTGAAGATTTTATATTTTACTCTTCTTATTAAGATATGAATGCATAGAGTAGCAAATGTTTGTTATATTAATTTACATATTTGACGTAATTATGTAAATATAGTTATATAATTATAGCGCGTAGAGGAGCAATTTGCGAATATTGTTGCAACTCATAACATTCTCATAGTTATTAATTAAACACGGTATATATCATTAACATGTTCTGTCTCCTTTTATGGGTAAAATTTTGTTAAAAACACGAAAAATTTGCTGGCTTTGCTCATCGGTTGTTTATGTTGAATTAACAAGAAAGATTTCTATCATTTTGAAATTGTCACTGTCAAAACCAAAATGACAACTTCATTCGTGAGACAAATTACAAGTTCGAAGAGAACCCATTAATGTATTTCGCCCTTCTCCGACTGATATCAAAACGAAGCCCTGTGGGATTAGTCAAAAATTTAAAATTTTGTGACGATGCTTTCAAAAAACGTGGCCAAACTTTCGAGGAGAAGTACATAAGAGACATGACACATGAACAACTAAAGAAGCTTAAAGAAAAAGTAGAAGCAGAGAGAAAGAGGAGAATAAGAGAGGAAGTGAACAAAGCAGACAAAGATGAAGATAAAAATGGGAAAAAAGACGGACATTGAGAGTGTTTGTAAAAGTGACAGTTTTGAATAAATGTAGTTTCTTATGATGAATTTTTTTCCTGGCAAGACCGAATTTAGCTAGAAAGTATAACAATTTTTCAAAATTTATTATCTAGCATCATCTATTTACACTCTATGATATGGTTTAATAGATGGCGTTGGTGATGGTATACAAGTAGGGACTTTCACAGTTTAATAGAAGGCAAATATTACAAAAATGTTAGTTAACGTGTTTTTTGCCTTTGTAAACCATTAAAAACTAATAATTAGAACTTTAATTTATAGGATGGGGGCAGCCCGTTGTTTGTTGCGTGTCAATGCGGTCACATGGACGTCGTTAAAGAGTTAGTGAAAAGGGGTGCTAAAGTTAACACCCACATGAAGGTAAGACCTATAAAACATGTATTGTATATGCATAAATTCGTTTTATAAAGTTTAAATTTTCAAATCCATTTTAAGATTATATCTAGTTTAGTAATTCAAAAACCGATGACATTTTTCTCTTATATCAGAATTATTTTAGGTGTTTTAATATTCCGGATACATACGGAACTACCACAGATGAAAATCTACAGTAAGGCTTCAAAATAAGTCGATTTACTTATTTACTTGCTTTGTTTAGCCACTAAAGGCCGCTGTAAAAATTTTTAGTTTTTTTCTAAATATCCAATAATTAATAATGCAATTGTTTCGGTTACTATGTCAAAATGTAATATTTGCACACACTAATATATCAAATTTCAATTAAATCTGATAAAACGTCTCTCGGCTAAACGAAACAATTCTGGTTAAAGGACAAGTTTAGTTAAATCATCTTATTTTTTAACCCCAAGAATGTGTGTCATCCCGTTCCAAAACTTTTGGAAGTTGCGACTCCCTCTTAGATCAAATTTTTGCTTGCAACCCCTCACTACATTATATTTAATCATAAAGAGCTTTTCTAACTTAATAGCAGATATACGTGTTTTTGACATGTTTTAATATCAGCTCTAGACAATTATATTTTCGTCCAACTAACGTTAAAAACGTGTCGAAGATATGATTTTGTCAAATTGTACTGTTGGTCCTTTAAGCTGATCTCAACTGACTTAAGTTGAAAAGTTGAACAAAGTTTTAACGGTCATTTTTATTCAAATTGATCAACTAAAAGTGAAAGGAAACAAAGCTATACATATAATGGGCTCATTCAGTCATTTTTAATTTATTATTTAGCACTTAAATCCCTAAATACGTAAGGAAAAAAATCAGGCAAAATTTAGTATTAACCGTGATAAGTAATTTTTAATTCGTAAAATATTTGAAACGGCCCAAACCGTCTGCATTTGTGACGTCACACCACTCGACTAGTTTAACCCTACGGCTATATATCCAAAAAAAATCGCATCACTTATCATTGAAGACTCTGGTGCAAGAAGGGTATGTCAATTTTTTTGAAAAATGTCATTTCTGCGGATATAGGTTTAAACATGTACTTTTCTGGTGCAAATATGGAATCTGTGGAGATAATTGAACTATAAGATAAAAGCATTTATCCCATGCTATACATAAGTGCAAAAACGGAACAAGTTCTTGCACCATCTATGCGTTGGTTTTTTGTGCTTAGTTAGTTCAATTTGTTTAACTTAAATATTATTAAAACCAGCAAGCTTGAAGCCTTTAGCGATCCTCTGCGACCTTTTTTCGCGACCCCCTAGGGCAGGGGTCTGCAAGTAATTCCAGATATTTTTGAAAATTTTTAACGAGGTCCAGAAGAAACTCATATTCCTTACTAATTTTTTATTTTAATTAGCATTCATATTTGTATTCAAAAATCAATGCGAGAAATTACATTTGCGGTCTTGGGTCAGTTTTTTTTACTAACCTACTAACCATTAAAAAATGATAAGGGTGGCACTTATACATATTGTTATCAACAGAAAAATATTCTTTTAAATTTTAAATTGAGTAATTATACATTAAAAAAATTTTTGGAGGACCATTTATTACCTTCCGCGGTTCGGATCTGGACCACGGTCCGCCAGTTGCCAACCGCTACCCTAGGGGGTCGTGACTCACATTTTGGGAACCACTACAATGGTATTAAAGCTAATGTGTACAGTTTACTCTATGATACAGTACTACATATTAATTTTTGTTTTAACTGTACCAAAGAACACCCACGCGACCGATTTTTCTTTTTCTTTGCAAGGATAAGGCTACGCCTTTGTTCATTGCCGCCCAAAATGGACATTACAAGGTCTTGGTCTACTTGTTGGCGCAGGGAGCCGAGCCAGATTCGAGACGGACAGACGGAGCGACTCCTCTATGGATAGCCGCGCAAATGGGGCACGATCATATAGTCGCCCAACTTCTAAAGGCTGGGGCATTCGTCGACGCTGCCAGACACGTAAGTTCTCTATAAATCCACGTTTTTTGGGTGTACTGTTGCAAAATTCTTTTTTTATATAGGTACAGGGTGTTGCAATATTCAGCATATGAACAGTAGCATCACAGTATAATACTTATACAAATCGGTTCAGTCATAGAACGAATCTACTTCCTTGGAACATAACGGTGCTTATTTTTACATCTGTATAATGTGTTTTATGTTGACATTGTTCATGAATTTACTATGAATATATTTAATTATTAATTTTTAAATTAATGAACAATTCTTCAATTTTATTTGAGACTATTTTGTATATTTAAAAGCACAAAGTTTCCTAAGAAATTTAAAAAGCCCACCGCACTCATAGATCTTCAGAATAAATAAAACTCTGCTCCTTTTGGTTATAACTGACTTGATCAAGACCACAATTATTTATTCTACATATATTTATAAAATATAATGTCCTTACTGATTTAGATTATACTATTCTAATCTGATAATATACATTTAAATGTGAGCAAAATTGTTATGTACCATTGGGCGCGTGAAGGTTTCAAGATGTCGAGGAAAATGTAAAATTTTATGAATTTTTATTGATCAAATGTGGTAAACAAACGCAAAAGCAGAAAATACTAAAAAATATCATAACAGACTTTCAAAATCGTCGTTATCTATTTCTAAACTTGCTTCTGTATGTTGTTGATCTCGACGAATTGAATATGTCTGTTATGTTATTTCTCAGGCCATCTCAGAAATATGTTCCCGTAAGTCTTCTGAGTCAAATATTGATGCTCTTAAATAAGCCTCCTCCAACGATTAAGATCATCCTAGAAACGGCAGAAATCCCTTCATTCCAAGAGCGACCGAAAATCCATAATGATAATCTGGTGGAGCCATCAAGAGGTGCGATTGGACGTCGACCCAAGCCATTCGCAGTTCGCGTTGTACGACATTTACAATTTGTTACATTGTCGTTGCATTGTATGCAGTGTATTGCACGTAACTAAACCAATATTATACACAAATAATACCCATTAAATTTTACTCTTTAAATGCGTGGTTCCAAGTTCCAAAAGCTTTAGGTGAAAATATAGAAACGGAATGAGGCCGACCAGCGAGAGGCGCCCAACAATGTAGGTACATTCCTCGAGTACGATACATTGTTAGAGGAATCTACAGTAACCCAATTCCTCGGGGTCAAGCAGTCAAGGCTCCGGTGGCGACTACTATCGCGGGAAGGACCAATGGAGCCGACGGGATACGAAAATGACTTGAGTTTGGTGTCGGGAGCGATTCTTATATTTTTCGTGTTATATTTTGTTTTTGTGTACTTGTTTATAAGATTTCTTATTTAATAATAATTCGTTATAATATGCTTCATTTTCTCTTTCTTTTTAAACCCAGATATCTTAAAACTATTGGTCTAAGTATAAAATGGTAAATACAAATTTTGCTCACATTAAAGCAGATCTAACATCCTGCATGGCCTGCGGTGATTGTTAAAAAATTACAAATTAGATTAGTGTATAAATAATACCTGTATATTTTTAGAAACGATATCAGTTAGAGAATTGGATTTCGGCGTGGAACTGGTACTAATGAAACGCCTCTGGCCACTGCATCAATATGTATCTCATTTCTTTTTTCTTTTTTTTTTTTTGGTGCTCTATAATAGGTTGATATGAGCTACCATTTATCTTATTTTCCAAGTAAATTGATACAGAAAAATAATGTTCTATCCATTTAGAAACCTTTTTACCTTTTTGTCAAATTTCAAATGTAAAAACTGAAGAGATATCTTAATATTTTGAGTAAAAAATTTAGACTAGTATAATGAAATATTTTTTGAATTTTTACTACTTAAAAAATGCATCTAACATAAAAATTGAGGAAAATACCAAAGCATTTCTAAAAGATAAAGCAATTTAAAAAATATTGTTTTGTTATGATTTCTTTAAAAATTAATAAAAAAAAATACAAATAAGAAGCTTATATCAATACCTCGATAACTTAAAAAAAATTGGGAATGTATCGATCTTTTTGGCATTTCAGTGGTCCTTGACAAAATTAATTTTTCTAATCTAATGTTTGAGAGAAAATATGAATCACTTCCATAAATCTGTACAAGGAGTTTGATCCATTTATACAGGGTGTATCGTGTATCAGAAATTGTCATTGTCAAGTACCATTTTTGATTTAGTGCAAAATATACATTCTAAAACTTGTCTAGTGACAACACAGACATCTTCTAAAACGTGGTCAATTTAATTCATGCATTATTAATTGAGTGTCTACTAATAACAAATTTTTCAGTGTGAATCACTTTTTCTTAAAAAAATATTTCATAATTTACGTTATAAGAAATTTATTATATCTTATATCGTTTAATTGAATTATATGATTTTCTTTTAGGATGGAGCTACTCCACTTTTTAAAGCTTCTCACAAGGGTCACTCTGCAGTTGTAGGTGAATTGCTCAAATATAAACCATCCCTAGACATTCTCCCTGTAAGTAATTATTTAAGGTATTGTAGTAATAAAAACTGTCGAATATTTCCTTTAAAATCAATCAGTCAAAAAAATTATGACAACTTTTCCGCATTTACGTTATATAAGTTACCTTTTTCTTCTATTTTGGCCACCATATATTAAAGTATTGCATGTGTTACTGCTATTAAGTCATGACCTGCAGCCAGGCATGTCGGCTCCCAGCCATACAATTAATAAGCTGAAGTGCAGCTCATTGTAAATTGATAGCACTTATTGATCCCACTTCTGGAGGGTCAATGTTTCGAGCAAATTTTAAGGTCATCGTCCAGCAAATACAATTACAGATTAAGTCTCTAATTTCTAAGACTTGATTTAATCCAGAAACCATACAATACTTACGGAAGGCATCAAATTTGTTCGACAATATCTTGAAAATCTTAACTTTGTGATTTTGTATGCTTAGTTTTCACATTTTTTCAGAATGGCGAAAGTGCCCTTCATGCCGCCGCTTTCTCTGGTAGCCTTCCAGTTTGCAAGCAACTCATCGCAGGTGGTGCAAATCCGAGCCTTAAAAACCAAGAGGGTTTCACACCCGCCGAAGTTGCAGACAGGCACAGGCACAATATGGTTAACGATTATTTGAGAAACTGTCTCAATCGAGCTTGAAAGTAATTTTGAGATGTACAGAATGACTGTTAAACAAGACTTATGTTGTGCCTTCCAAGAAAATGTGCTCAAAAAATGTATAATCAGTATTTCAAGATGGATTTAAAAAAAATTGAAATACATTCTCGATTTTTTCTGGAAAAAATTTGAATCTCTTCGCTCAAATTATTTTTCTCTGCCAGATATTAATACACGGGGTGGTGCAAAAGAATCAGATTATTTAAGAATTATTATTTAAGTATATCAGTTCTGACGAATTCACTGAATATTTTTAGTTTAGTTAAGGGTCATGTCCACATATCCGATGCCAAAATTTGTTTAAATCATGTTTGAACTACTAGTAAAAATGTTTTGTAGGCAAGTTAGGATAAAGTAGGGATATGGAAAATCATGTAAATAAATTGTTATAATGTGAAGTATTTATTATGTTTGTACTTAAATGTTATCATTGATAGTATTACCTTTTTTGTTGAAAAATGTTTGTTATTTATATTATAAGTATTTCTAAGACTTCATCGGATTTTTGTTAATGATACCTACATCACGAAATTTTCTAATTTTGAAGAAAAAATTATAAAAGGATGAAATGAAAGTGTAAAGAGTATAAAACTCCTAATAATTAAATGGAATAACCAACCAAAATCAATACAACTTAATTCTCTCAATATGTTCTTAGATAAAGCAACAGGCAAAAAATGTTTTATATTAAAAACTTTGCATTTTTATCTGCAGTGGTTTTATCTGCCATATAGCAGTTTGCGACAGCAATGTTTGCTTTTGTTCATAAAAAGTCATTTTTCTTGAAAACGGTTGACTTTAGAGCAATGAACCAAGAGAACTCTTATTGTGTAAAATTCATTGGCGCTTTAAAATTTGCTGTCAAAAGTCAATTTTTCCAGTGGCGTAAAATTTAGGGGGGGAAAAACCTTTACGATACCTTAAAATCTCCACCACTGGCACGTCCAATGAATTCGAGAAGGGTACGAAAAAGTAGCTATTAATAGTGGTAATGTGTGTACAAAAGCTCAGTCCTGTAGTTCAAACGATTCCTAAGATATTGGCGAAAAACTAAAAAAAAATTAAAGTTTTGACACCGTGTATCTCGAAAACGAAAGCCCGGAGAGAAAAATGGAACAGGAAAAAAATGTTTCTTTTTTCAAGAGGAATTTACAGTTTTCCGTTGCGACACTTATTTAGGAACACCCTGTATATTATTGCATTTTTGGATTCCTTGGTTAATATTAGGTAGAGTTTATTAAAAATATATGGTGTTTAAAACTTACCGTTTTCGAGATAAATTTTGAAAAAAATCATAATTTCATCTCTCTAAATGAGGCTAGATAGCGTCTAAACCGTAAGAGTTAGAAACCTGCAGTTTTCACAATTCGTTTTGCCTTAAATTACTCTATCTTGTCATCTGTGAGCAAAACGTGTACGGCATTCAGACTTGGAAATACTGAGACCTACATTTAATAATCTTACGAATTGATAAACTTTTTTTTTTCAAATGGAATGACACATATTAATTGTCATGGGTGAATGCAAAATTGAATACCCTTTCGACTGATATAATGTTGTCCACACTTATCTTTAACGGTCTTCCAAAAAAATCAGGTTATTTTCTAAAGTCTGAAAAAGTAGCTATGTAACAGCGTCAAGACGGCCTTGCAAAATCACTTTTCTCCACATTTTATCAGGCCTGGGACTGACAGTGTCAATATTTACTGGTATGTTTAAAAAGTGGTTTGACAAACAAAAGTAATAGTCCACAGTACAGGCCCCTCCTGGAAAGTTGATTACCACATACTTTATAACTCGTGAGGAGCTTCTTTCGACGAGTCTCCCACACTTTTCCTCTGTGACTTTTCTCGATTCCTCCGCTTTTCCACTCGGAAAAGTCCAAAAACATGGCAATTTCCCAGGGTCTTGAACAGTCAAGACCACACCTTTTTTTTTTAGCTTAAGTTACTGGAAATTTTGTTGCAAATGCCGATTTAAATTTGTTCGACAGAAATTCTTCCTGCATTGACGTGTCTACCGGCCGAAACATGCCAAAATGACAGGGTATTGAAAATCAATTACCACATAGGTAATTTTTAGTAAAATTAATTGTAAATAAGTCAGTCAAAAAGTATTGTTGTCCGACAAATTTCAAGCCGCGTTTTTTCAGTCCGACAGCTGGAAATCGGAATTTTCACGGGGTATGAAAAATCGATTACCACATATCTAATTTTCATTTTTTCCACTTTTAAATTTACTGTACAAAATAGTGATATAAGTGTCCGACGATTTAATGTCCGCAATTTATTAAAAAATCAATAAATCAATAAACGTGATGAAATTTAATATTTTCACTCGAAAAATTTCATATTTATAAATGGTTATTAATTATTATGATGTAAATTATTATTTGTTTCAAATAAATAATTATAATATTGCTTATTTTATGCTTAAAAATTATTATTTTTTTAACCAAGCAAGAAATCAAATTTCTGCTCAAAAATCGTTTGTTAATGATATCAACACTTAGGATATGAATAATCTGTGCATATTAAATGTTGGAAAAGGATTGATAATGTATATGTTTCTTCACTGAAAGTGCAAGATTCTGTAATCTGTAATTCAATAATTCCTTAATAGGGGCACCAAGGCGGGTGTAACATTGAGTGGGGTCATAATTATACACAGGTTTCCTTTGATCTTTTGAAACATGTATCAATAGTTTATTTTTTCAAATTCCGTCGTAAAAACTTATTGTTTTTATACTTTGTTTAGTAATTTTCGTACCCTGCCGCTGGACAAGCGAGATAGTGTAACCTGAAATAAAGGCGCACTTTAGTCGCGGCGTATGCTCAATTTTACATCACTCGCCACGAGTTACCTTTGTTGGGTGTGTTCGTCACACAAACAGTACTTAGCAAGTAACCGAGCAAAAAACTCAAGCAGTAATCAATAATAATAAATGAAATACACAAAAATAAATAATCCTTGCGCGTCTCTCAGTTGTTACAGAGAATATATACCACCTTTGTCGTCGCTTCCCGCTGAATAATAGTCGCTAATTGGACAACAGACCTACCTACGGGATAACCAAAGCAACCTGTTGATGGCTTCCAGCGATAAAAAACATTCACATTAGATGTACGGTCTCCAAATGCGGAACAACAACTGGACCCCTTCGCTTCATCACCATTAATCCGCACTATCTCCTTATACATGCACTGTAGGTTGCCTACAATTCATGTATTTGTAAATTGTAATACATCAATATTACAGTGGCAGCATACACAAAAATTAAAGTGCATTTTAAAAAACTAATTATAACTCGACTATTTGATTTAAAAAAAAAAATAAAATTTCAGATATTCGTATTCAGGGGAACACGTATTACTATATACCTCTAAAAAAGTGACCCCACTTAAATTTACACCATGTATATTATGTCGGCCTACTTAAAGCTAAATTTTTCTACATTCCAACAGAAGCAGAATTTTTTCATAAAAATTACTTTTTTCCCTTTTTTCAACTCCATATGTGGATTCTTTTTGTTCTTGTACCTGTGGTACTTATTAGGCCTATTGTATGTCCCACTGTTCAATCCTATTCGCAAGTACTTTTGTCCTTTTTACAAAGTCCAGAAGCTTCCTTGCCAATACTTATCTCAGCCCCCTGGGTTCCAGAAATGATTTTTCCAGGTCCATCATCCTACTACGTGCGAATCCTTGACACTCGCCCAGAGTATGCAGAGACTTTGCATCTGCCGAATCACATTCTCGGCAGACCGAACTGTCTACAAGCCTTATAGTCTAAGATTCGACAGTGAGATTACTATGTTCATCTGTTTTTTAGTCGAAATACAATTTTTATAGATNTATATACCTCTAAAAAAGTGACCCCACTTAAATTTACACCATGTATATTATGTCGGCCTACTTATAGCTAAATTTTTCTACATTCCAACAGAAGCAGTATTTTTTCAAAAAAATTACTTTTTTCCCTTTTTTCAACTCCATCCGTGGACTCTTTTTGTTCTTGTACCCGTGGTACTTATTAGGCCTATTGTGCGTCCCACTGTTCAATCCTATCCGGCAAGTACTTCTGTCCTTTTTACAAAGTCCAAAAGCTTCCTTGCCAATACTTATCTCAGCCCCCTGGGTTCCAGAAATGGTTTTCCCAGGTCCACCATTCTACTACGTGCAAATCCTGGACACTCGCCCAGAATATGCAGAGACGTTTCATCTGCCGAATCACATTCTAGGCAGACCGAACTGTCTATAAGCCTTATAGTTTAAGATCCGACAGCGAGATTACTACGTTCATCTGTTTTTTAGTCGAAATACAATTTTTATAGATAATTATGAATAGAGGAATATGTTTTTGTTGGGTTGCCTATCAAAATATGGCCGCAAGTATTTTTAATTAAAAGAAAATAAATTTTTTCCAAACGTCGGTGAACACGTCAAAATAAATTTTGTCTTTTGATGCTTTTTCCCGACCGATTGGATCACGGCGAGTCGTTATTTTACCGTTATGCACCAGTTCTGTTCTTTTAGAGACGATATTATAGCGATAAATCTTAATTTGAACATTTAAAATTTTCTGTTCACATCTGCGGATACTCAAAATTTCAAATAGCCCGTAAAGGCTCCACCCGCCAGTAGGCCACTGTAGCTCAATTTAAAAGCTCGCTACTGCAAAGTCCTCGGTTCGAATTATGGCTGGCCGGACTTTTTTTTTTTAATGTTACATTTACCAACCTTTTTTAGTTCTTTGCATATCTCTCTGTGCAATGAATTATAATTTATCCTAAAAACAAGTGTACGAAAGTTTGGAAAAAATTAATTAATTTAATTTTAATTAAAATTACTTGCAGCCAATTTTGAGGCAACCCGGCAGAAACATTTCCCTATTCAGAATTATCAATAAAAAGTGTATTTCGATTAAAAAACACTACTATTAGCTTGTATAGATATTTCCTAAAATGACAGTGTTACAAGTCCCGTTACTTTCCTGAGCCGAATTTAATTCAAGCTCAATGGACTCTACGTTTATGTTGTTTTATGTTCAATAAAACAGTTTTACAGCTAATTATATGAATTATTTTTTGCATAATTTTGTTCAAGTGAAATGGTATCATTTTATTTGATTTAAATGTTTCATATTTTTAACTATTTTCAAAAAATGTTTAATTGAAATCAAATTCATTGGTAAGGTAGTTAGTGTAGTGATACTTTTTAAGAAAATCATATATTGATGTTTTCAGTTCCATCTCCAGTGACAAAAATATAAAAAAATGTCCCATTTTCATCTGCTAACAAGGAGAAGGCAAGGTAATCGGATTTTTGTAATTTTTGATATTTATGATACGTATAGTTTGGACTTTGAATAAGAATTTTCCAAAGTAGTTTGACGCAACAACGTTCATAAATTACCAAAATAATTGATTTTGAAGTTTTACCTGCCAGCTAAATCCACTAGATGCGACACATTTTTCAACTGGGAACGTGGCCTGGTTGGTAGCGTTCAGTTCCGACAGTCACGAGATCGCTGGTTCGAGTCTCATCACGCGACATTTTTTTTTCCTCCCTCAAAATGCACCATATGTTTTTTTTATTCTTTTTCTGATCTCGAAAATTATGAACAAACGAAATATTATAATAACTACTTATGTACATACAGGGTGTTTCGAAATTGGCAGACACAGAGAGTGGGAGGTTAATATTGAGCAAAAACTAAATAGAAAACCTTATTACACTTCTTCGATCAGACAAGATACAAGAATGCGTTTTTCTAATATTAGTACATGAAATAACACCTGAGAATAATGGTCTTCGGCAGTTCAGCAAATGCAAACACGTGCAAAAGGATGTTTAGCAGCAGGTGGTGGACATTTCGAACAGTTTTTATAGTTAAAATTTCATTCATTAATTAATATTAAAGTTTTCTTTTCATTTGTTACAAATTTCTTTTACAATTGTCTGATCGAAAAAGTGTAATAAGGTTTTCTATTCAGTTTTTGCTCTAAATTAACCTCCCACTCTCCGTGTCTGCGAATTTCGAAACACCCTGTATATGTTGGAATATTCTTCAAATATTTCATTACACTGCACAATTGGTTGATTAACAATATTATAATATTTCGTTTGTTCATAATTTTCGAGATGAGAAAAAGAATAAAAAATATATATGGTGCTTTTTGAAGGGAAAAAAAAATTTTGCACGACGAGACTCGAACCAGCGATCTCATGACTGTTGGAACTGAACGCTACCAACTAGGCCACACTCTCAGTTGAAAAATATGTCGCATCTAGTAGTGAATTTAGCTGACAGGTTAAACTTCAAAATCGATTATCTTGGTAATTTATGAACGTTGCATCGAACTACTTCAGAAAATTCTTATTCATGGTCCAAACTACACGTACCATAACTATCAAAAATTACAAAAATTCGATTACCTTGCCTTCTAAGTCAAGAAAAAATATTTACCTTTGATATTAATAAACCAAAACTTGAAATGTGAAATATTTGTTTAAAATTTTGATCTCTTGTTGCAAGATATGCTGTTACTAATAACTGAATTTTATTTAAAGCATCACTTTTCTTTGTCAAGAGGGAAGGTACTTCCTATGGTTCTCTTGTCCGGGAGCCAAAGCTGCCTCGTTACATTACTTATTATTCATTTGGTTAATTAAGTGAACTGAATATAATTCTTACCACTAGCAAGAAATCCACATCCGAATCCACTTGATTTCTGTTTCAAAACCTATATTTTTCTTAAGGAGGCCACTTAATATCTTTATTAAGGACTATTATACGAAATTTTATTAAACTTTTGCCAAAATGTCTATGAAAGAGAAATCTGGGAATAATTAAGAAACCGACCATTTTAACAACACAAGACTAGTTTTTATTATTAACCATAATTACATAGTATTGAAAATATAAAAATTATTTCATTTTGAGATCTAACACAGTCCATATACAAGTGCAAATAAATCTGTAATTCGAAACCTATAAAAAAACCTTAAAAAGCGGTACTGAAACCTTTCTCTAGACATCTACAAAAATACACTGATGTTCCTTTTCTAATTACAATGCAGAGATTTAAGGCTCCCTATGAAACTTATCGTATAAACAGGTGCGTTTTTTGGGCAACGAGACAGAAAACGCAACCCTGTCTCGAGGCCCGTACTTTTAGCAAATCACACGCATATAAGCACATGAAAATTTCATTAAATATACTTTGTAAAACCGCCCGGTCGTTACGACCCGACTCTGCATTTTACAAAACTGTCAACGGCACACATTTATTCGAAAATACAAAATTTATATGTGAACAATCACAAAATTATTTCATCAATTTATAATATATATAGGCAACTTTACTTGAAAAGCACCGTTCACATTAAAATGGAATAAAAACTTTTAACGCTCTTATAATGTGTAACAACATCATTGCCAATATGGCTGAATTAGTTCATTTTGTTTTTCAGTTTTTTCTTAACTTTAATGGTTAAGTTGCAAATATTATGTAATACACTTTCCACTTTGTTGATTATAATTTAGAACATACGAGGCATATCCACAAAGTAAGAGTACTGAGACTCTGATGCTTTGTGGGTTTTGTTTTCGACAAAGTTGGCAACTCTGCAATCAAGGCCAAGGTGTTGGGAGCAAAACCCGCGCTCATTTGTTTGAATCAGTTGAGAACTGTTGTTGTAGTGGTGTGTTGAAATGAGTGCAGCCATTCCAAATTCCGCCAGCTGCGAGGTGAGGAGCATAAGCCGGTTTCTTTTTGCAAAGGGAAAGGTGCTGTTCCAGATTTTTAACGAAATAAAACTGTTTATGAGGATAGCATTATGATGCTCTTTGTGGATATGCCTCGTGCTTAGAAATGAATTAATATTTTTATTTGACCCATGTGGTGTTAATGTGAGAGGTACCTTTCGGAGAATGTATTTAATTCAACAAAGCAAGGTTACACACTCAACACTTACTTGTACTGGTTAGAGGAATATTTATATACCCTGCGTATTCTGTTTTAACTATTTATATCTTTTAATGGATGGATTACACTTTTGAGCAATAAACTTATCTACAATTCATAAGAAACTCAAAACAAACTAATTTCGATATAGTCACTTCAACAACATTAAGAGAGATGTGTTACTATCAGGTTTATTCGTTGTCTTTTTTTTACCTCCACTCAAGCAAGCCTGATGAGTTCAATTTGAAAAAATCGTAAAGAGGAGTGATTTAAAGCAGAAAAAAATCTCACATCCTCAAAAATACATTCTTGGCTTTTTAAGAAGAGGAAAAGTGGCTTTTATAACCTCGGATTTAAAATTAAAACATACAAAGAAAGGCAACATCGTACATAAAAAACGAATAGATTAAAACAATATAAAACCTATTTTTATTACTTCTCTTGATCTTAATGTTGTCGATCGATCTCAAGTTGTCTTACAAACGACCCGTTACTTACCACGGTAACTCCACACATAAATACGTTAGAGAAATAATCAACACCAATAACTACAACTCGATACGTAAAGACAAGAACAAAAAAAGGTTGTAACTTATGGCAAACAAAACAAAATCAACGAATCATTAAAGCAACGACAAAAAGGGTCAGTCGAATCATATTCGGAGCAAATAAATTAAATTAACAGCCTACAAAAATAGAAATAAATAAATCTGCGCCAAAATATACATATACAATTTATATATACACCTATTATTTGTCACACAAATCTGACGGCACTTACATTATGCTTCAATAACCAATTGCACGATATAACATTTAAGAATATTATTACACATTCTATTACGCTACGGTAGTGGGGTGAACCATAGGAAAACGGACATGATAATCTGCCGGGCTGAACAAACAAATATGGAATGGTCCCGTCTTATACCAAAAGAAAGGAAAAATAAATAATAAAACAATGGCATGAAAATTGTGGAACTTGGACTGAAAACGAAAACAATGACCTAATCTATTACTGTATCAGTGAAATCAAGAGATTATCAGCCTGGCTCTGCTAAGCTAGCTAATCTTAGGGCGTTTTGATAGCTGCTCGCTGGGACTTACACAGCCCAGCTTGTTATTCACATTGCCGTTGCCCACCGAGTCGTTGTTGCCGTAGACGCTGAGGCTGTTCTGCATTATGTCCTGTTTCTGAAAGGTGAAATCCCCATAAGTATTTTCAACCATTTAATCATAAAACAATATAGAAAAATCTAATTTCAGCCTTTTTGTAGTTAAACACAAAATTTCTTAAAAGCAGTTGTCAGATCAAAGGGCCATCTGGTGAATCAAATGCTTTAGTTTTTTACTAGTCTGTTAGATGGCGTTTTGGCTCTATATCACTGCTTACATGAAGTCGAATAACAGTTACTCCACTTTTTAAAAACAAATACCAAAACTGAACTATTTTTATACCAAAAACATTAATTTTTCTGATACAAATTCTTCACTGATACGATAAAAATAACTTCTACTTACGATTCCTTCCAAAATAACGGCAATAGGCACGACCCCTGTTGCTTCCGCCACCTGGTGCTCAATCAAATAAAACATATACTCATCGTACAGCAGCCGGATCAAGTGAAAGGACCCGAAACTAGCTGCCGAACGCAGAGTTAAATCCCTGATAACCATGGAACTATAAAAGCTCCACTTCAGCAAAAACTGCCTAGCAGCCTTGGAGAAACTAGGTTTCCCCTCGTAGGGCTTTAGCGCACTCTTCACAACGTTCTTCAGCCAGGACGCCCACTGCTCTAGAGAGTTCTGTTGCTGGAGCGTCAGTTTGAAATCGTTCTCAAATCTGGCCACTATCTCGTTGTCGCACTGGCACACCCAAGAGGCCTGTTCTCGGACGCTGTGGAAATCCACGCGGTTTAAGTCGGCTAGCATCTGCCCGATCTGGTTGCTGTTGTGCAATACGGCACGAGCGGCCTGCGCTAAGTGGTTTAGGGAGGTGTAACGCCTCAGACTAGAACTGAAAGCTGAGACGGCTGTCAGCTTGATTTGTAGCATTGCGACGGGGGCCCCCGCCATGGCACTTGTCAACCAACTCTCCAAATCTGAAAAATAAGGAAATACAGACAGGGTAGGATGCCCATGATATAAGTGCCGTAAGTGAAATATAATCGTAACTTTTTTTATGTAAATTACTAGTGTCACTCTGCAAAATAAACATGAAATATAGATTCCGAATCTATTCATTTCAAAGATATTTAAAAAAAAAGCCTAAAATTTTCTCATTTGATAAATTTGCTAATTAGTTTTAGCAACAGCGTATTTACGGTTACTATTGTTCGTAAAAATATAGAGAATGCTTAAAATGAAATTGAGAAATAAAATGTATCTTTCTGAACTTACCCAATTTTATAGCTAAGGGCCCTGATAACTATATGTTTGGACACCCAGAATTTTTTTATAAAAAAAATAATACTCACAAAAAATAAATATACACTATGTAGTTTTAGAAAAACCATAAACTTTCATACTTAAGTGTACTCACATAGCAACTACATTTGTACACCAAAAAAATCAAAATGGAACAATATTTTAATGGTATTTAAATGTTCGGGCAGGTTAATAATTTTGACAGTAATAACTGTATATCATGGTTGGCAACAGCATCGATAGGAATGTTAACATGGAGAAATATCTGAATATAGTGGTAAAGACTTTGTTGCTTGTTATCAAAAAATTATATTCAGATGAAAATCTTACTTTCTAGAAGGTTGGCGCATCTCGCTATACAGGATGATTCACAATTTATCCAAAAAAATTTGGGAATAGTTGCAGCATGAGAAATGGAGACTATATCGTAAAGAAAAGTTTTGTAAAATCCTTAAAGTTTCCGAGAAAAAAAATTATTGAAGTTCTAGTACTTTCAACCATTACATAGCTGGACAACTGTAGTCTCTAGTGTCATTCGCAATGGCTTGGAGAGCCATGTGGCCTCAACGCTCCGATTACTGAAATCCGATTTTACAATCGTCGTTGCAATAGTGTTTACAAAAGTTTTTTAGTAGTTATTGTCAAAAATGGCTTGCGTGTATAGCAACTCGGAATTGATGCATATCATTTTAATTTATGGTCAAGCAAAACAGCATTTGTGTTATGGTGACGCAAGACAAGATGTTAGTTCGTAGAAACTGAGTAAGATGGACCCAAATGTATTTACATGTTGGTGGACAAAATTTTGAACAGATGTCAGGTATGTCAAATTATTTTATTATTTAAAACCACAAATTAATTTTATTAATTAATAATACCAATAGTGGCAAATGCAGTTGAGTTTGCTGATACAAAATAGGTGCTATAAAATTCTATTTATTTCTTTTTAGTTTTTGACAGTTTTTATCACACTGCCGCCATGTCGGTCGCATTGTGCAGGGTCAGGTTTTACACTGAACCAGTTTCCAGTGCCGTGCAGAAGTTTATTTTTAAATCATTTTCGAACTGCCCTTTTTCATTTTTTCTTTACAAAATTGTATTTGTATATCCAAATTTTTTTTGGATAAGTTCTGAATCACCCTGTTTAGTAAAATCTACTAACGAGCGTTCAAATAAAAATGTGGTCGAAGTTGGCTCTGACACATTGGATGTAGGGAGTAGCTTATAGCGACCAACTTAACCTCATTTCTCAACGAGCTGTATAGCAGCTGTCAGTTTCAATAACGTTAATGACTATATAACTTTATTTTAAAGAATAATCGTGATAACAATAACAAACAATTAAAGGAGCTGCGGAAAGTGTCCCCCTCCTTGTTATAACAATAAATTAAAGCAGCTGCTGAAAGTGTCCCCCTCCTTGTTCCAAGCACTTTTCACACCTGTTCCTCAAAGAATTAAAGACATTTTCTAAGATGCTCGGGGTATTGTTAATTTCACGAATCTTATCTATAAGTCGAGCCTGCAGATGGTTTAAATCAGGAATAGGCAGTTCAAAAATAGTGTTTTTAAGGTAAGGCCACAAAAAGAAATCACACGGCGTAATATCACATGACCTCGGTGGAAATTCATGTTCAGCATTGAGACTTATTAGTCGATTTTGGAAAACTTCCCTCAACATATTCATCGTCTCGCCTGCCGTATGTGCCCTTGCGCCATCTTGTTGAAAGTAAAAGTTTGTAATTTCGTTTTCTTCCAGCTGGTTAACAAAAGGAGCGATAATTTCTTCTCTATACCTTTGCGCAGTAAGAGTACCATTAAAAAAAATAGGTCCATAAATCCTCCTTCGATTGAGAGCACACCAAACTCCAATTTTTTGAGCGTGTAGAAGGCCCTCGACAAAAAAGTTATCTGGTTTTTCAGAAGACCACATTCTCATATTCTGTGAGTTTACGTAACCACTTAAATGAAACCAGGCTTCATTAGAAAAAAAGGTGATATTATGAAGTTCACCGTAGTTGTTTAAAAACCATTCACAAAATACAGCCCGTCGCGGAAAATCAACTTCATGAAGTTCTTGCTGACAAGTTAAACGATAGGAGAACAAACGCAAATCTTTTTTTAACACTGTGTGGCAGGTACCGACTGATACTCCCACCATTTGTGATAAAACACGTACAGAAGTTCTTGGCGCATTTTCCATTATTTGTTGGACATTTTCTTTTAATTCTTCAGTCCGCTTTTTAGGTCGGCCGCTTCCTTCTTTTCTTGTTACACTGCCCGTTTCACGAAAAACATTAACACAACGCTGAACTGCACTTTGAAAAATTTTGTACTCAACAACGCCGGGAAATTGATTTTGAAATTCTATGAAACATTCCTCAATAGAATACTTCCATATTCCATCAATCTTGCGTCCATTTCTAAAGTAGGACTCTATGATAAACACTTTTTGTTCTTGAGAAAACACCATTTTAAACGCTTTTTAAAACGAAAATATTCAAATTGATAGCGGCGATATAGCGCTTTGACAGATGACGTTTAAGTTCATTTGCTATACGCTACGCCCTATGTCCAAATTTTCAGAACCAACTTGACCATATTTTTATTTGAACGCACGTTATAACTTGGTTCGAAAATAATAATATAACAATTTTATGCTGACTGTCAATTGTAATCTGGACATTCATATTAGGTACAAATGATGCAGCACAATATAAAATGCGTTGAAGAGAAAATCCTCAAAAACATTGATGAATTTACACACTGAACTGCTGGAAATTTGAAATAACTTTTCAACGGATGAATGTCAGAAGCTTGTGGGCAACATGATAACAGCAAAAAGCAATGCTATGTCGAAAACATTTGTTTCATTCCCCCAATTTCTTATTTTCGACTTTCTGCAAGAATTGTCTACATAAAATTAATTTTTATAGTTTTCTACTTAAAAAAGGTATTCTTGATCGAAACAAGCAAAGCAAATGATTGATGATTAACTGTAATTCAATGTGGGGCTTGCTTAGCTCCAAAGTAATATTGCAGCGAGGCAGCTGTGGTATAAACAATGGTCAGATGCACCCATTCATTGACCCCCTCGTTTGCCAGACTTAAATCCACAGAATTTCAACACCTGGAGCTTTCTAAGTTGAATTGCAATGAAGAATTCAGAAAGAGTGGCAAATACTTGTTAATAATATTGGTATTTTAAACAGACTTACACAATCTTCAAGTCTTTAATATTTTATGTAATGTTGTTATATATACATCAGTTTGATTAGCAATTGTGGTTTTAAGGCGTTCACGACCCATGCTAATATATATAGTTCGACGGATTTTCAGATTGTCGTGGTCTGTGTAACTGTCGCACTTCCTTAGTCTTAGCTACAAAACTTTGACCTACCCTTGTTGTTCTCGGGCTAGGCTATGTGAGGACAGATCAGTTGTTACAACCACTAAGCCCGCCCTGATGTTCATTTCGGTCTAAGGCCCTTACAGATAGAACGGTTTCATCTGTAGCAACTTTAGACCCAATAAGAACTGAATGAATATTATGGTGGGCTTATGGATTCTAATAGCTAGTTTGCCTCCACAGAGTCTAGCCCAAGACAACAAGGGCACCTCAAAGGCTAAGGAAGTGAATGAAGGGAACACATCAGTTTGGGACACAATCATTCATATTGATGATAATATGTTATCAAACCATTAGAGTTGAGTTAAATGCAATTACAATCATAAAAAAATTTAATCTTAAATCACGGTTTTGCATCAAATACAAATACGCTTGGAAAAGTAAATTATTACCTTTCCAAACTTTAAAGGCAAAAAGTTTTAGCTACTACTACAATTTCTTGTAAGCTTTGATTCGAACTTCATGAAGTTTCATACAAGCTGTTTTTCTTGAAAACAATTAACTTTAGGATTCATGTTGTACAGAACTTTTTTGTTTATCTTGATCTATACCATCACATATTAACCCTTTCACTGCTCCAGACGAGATTATTCGCTAAAAATTTATAGGACTCAAACTGCTCCAGACGAATTAATTCGCTTGAATAGTTAAATTGGATCAGGCTGCTCAAATAATATATATTCGCAACCATGCGCATTAGTGACTCGGTTGTTGCAATTGGTATAGGGAATTTTTGCGGGCAGAGCTTATAACGATTATGGCAATTATTTTTATGGAAGGAAGTACTGGTAATATTGCCAAGATTGTTCACCTCTTTTTCAGTTTTTAATTAGTACGGCTGTCGATATATTGTATTTTATTTAAAATAAAATCGTAAAAATGTCTAGAAAATTGACAGACAAAGAACTGGAAGAAATTTTAGCGTAGTGAGGGATGCTTTATAATAAAATATTAATAACTAAACTATTACAATTATTTTGAAACATTTAAACATATTTTAATTTAATTTAACACAACATAATGTAAAAATATAAGTAGTCTAACTGCTCCAGACGAGTATACTCGCACGCGGTAAACTTTCATGCATGGCGCGGTAGCTACGTTCAGATGTATTGTGCAGCGAAAGGGTTAAACATATGCGGCACTTATACCCAGTATATGTATAAAGAGTTGAAAATTTTACGATAAAACATGAAATTTCAATGAATTCATCAAGAGGAAATATAACTTACTTTTTGCGAAATTCCTAATAGACTGCGTCAAGGTAGCGGGAATGGGCTTCAGCACATCGGGCACCAAAACCTGTATGAGATTTTGGTAGAAAATTAAATCCACGTGCCTCATGAAGTGCTGCACGGGCTCCAGATTGCACAGCGAAAACAGTTTCGACTTCGACAGGTATTTCTCTTCCTCACACTCATCGCTATTGTTGTTGTACTGCGACCGCCAGAACTCTCTCCACAAAGACTCCACCGTGCCGAATTCCAGGCTGACGATGGCATCCAGGAAAGCCTCCAAATGTTCTCTGTAGATCGACTTGAGAGTGTCGACATCTTCAAAACCACAATCGTCAGGTAGAGGTTCCGAGAAGTGAATATCAGGAAAAGCGGGAATGGAATTGCTTCCGTCACCTAAATAGGTTATATGCTGGGATAAGCCGCTATTTGAAATAGAGGTATCAGAGGAGTCAGAGTTACGTTTGAAAGGTCGGACCGTCCCCTGCGCCTTGCCGCTAGTGTTCGATGTGGTCAGGACGACACGACTGCTCGGGTCCTCCATATTCATCAGCGACGAGCCTGGCTTCACGCGTATCCCATAGTAATGGTACTTGGAATTACCCCTAGAAAAATTAGAACTCAAAATATCAAGTTTTTTGTAGAGGTTGGTCAATTTCAACACTACTGGGATTATTGCATTTCCTAAATAGGTAAAGAAAATGTGGTTAAGCTAGGCTTAACATCCCCAGAAAATCTAAATCGTTCAAGCCAAGTTAAACTTATATTCAATATTTTAAAATGTTATATTTTTCAAAAACTCATCATCCTGTACCTGAAAACCAAATTTTTTAAAATAAATTGACATTTTTTAAAAATTTTAAGCAGACTTAAAAAATCGGAAGATATATAGGGTGTTACATTTTAAATAAATAGTTTGGGTTATATTTGTAAAATCAGATGTAGAAATAAATCGTACCACTAAATTCTATTAAAAAAACAACTGAACAACAAACCTCCTTAGTAAGTTAAAACATTTACACAAAATAAAGTTACTTTAAGATACAGAAAAAACAAAAAATTAAAAATATCATGTATCTCTTAAGCAAATCAAAATGTTGAGAGTTCTTGCCACTCAATTTTTCTCGAGAATTGAACCTGTGATATCTTAACTGGTTTTTTTGGAAAATAGGAAATACCTCCCAAAAGTGTCGCATTTGGACCTCCTTGTACATTATTTTGCCAATGAATTAAACAGTATTGGTTTTACCTCGTTCCAAGTCTTCGGGTCCTTAGACCCAAGAAGACGGACCTTATCAGTTTCCCAAAAGAGGCAGCGTTAACCGGTTCAAGTTTATTTTCAGCGCAATGTCTCAAATAGTGAGCGTATAAAGTTGAACGCGGCAAAGATACACCTTCAGCCGTTTCATAATTTTCAAGCAGCCATTGCACCTGCGATAACAAATTATATCATCGATTTGATCGTTTAGAGAGAAATGGAACTTAGTGAGTGACAGTGCCAACTACATATTAAATATTATAGTTTGAGGTTAGGAAGTACGACACTACCAAGCATGCAAAATAAATAACGGCCCACTACATAAACGACATAAACTTCCAGCAGGACGATTAGTTGTAAAAGCTTGAAAAAGTTGTCAATCTATATGACAATCATTTGAAAGTAAAATTAGTTAGGTTATGTATGTGAACCATTTTTTACAGAAAACATTTATTAAATTGTGCGTGCCTGGAAAAACTGGTCAAGTATGCAAGACGTCTACAAAACAATAAAGTGTACAACTTCACTACTACTTGCAAAATATAAATATCATGTAAAGCAAAATTGATTTACAATGTGTTGAATTAGTTAAGGTAGTTATATCCCAAGTGAGGAGTTCAAGGAGAAAACTTTCGAGCAAGTCTCATATTTCAGTCACATAGTTTCGACAACTGGCAATGTCGCACTGAGCGCAGTTGTGTGTGAGAGAGAGATAGATGGAAACTTATATTTACCGGGCACAAGGTTAGGTTAGTTAGTGTTAAATATTGTGGATGCATTACAATCATTTGGTAAGTTTTTAAAAGATTTTGCAGGAATTGTCCTTATTGTTTAATTTATTTTATTAGTTCCTTTAAACGAAAAAAGGAAACTGAAAAGAGAAACGTTTTAGTTCAAAATTTTGTAGAATGTCAGCGTGTGAGCAAACTAACCTTTCTTCAATGTGCAACGTTGCCATGTTTCATTTATGTGAATAATTATAAGAAAAATTTAAAAGTTTGAGTATTAATATCTTTAATCCAAGCTGATCAATCCTTTCCAGACTGTTACAAATAACTTATTTCTACACAAATTAGTCTTGCCTAGAACAGTTTCTTGAATGGGGTTAATTAGCTACAGCTACATTTTCATCGTAACGACAACATATTTCTAGGTGGCGCCATTAAACCTATGCTAAACATAGTCAACTTTGATTAAGCATAACTCAGAAACTATGTGGTAAAATTTACTGAAATTTTGCAAATGTATGTCATTTGCATAATTAACTATAGGGAAAGTTTCGTAATTATCTCGAATAGTGTCCACTTAGGTGATAACTACCTTAACAGTATTGAGTAAAGCGGGAGACTTACGGTGGCAGGCGATACCCGGGTAGCGTGTCCTAGGGCAGATCCAACATCTTCTCCTGCCACTACTTGCCCGGACGACTGCGTAGCATGCACTGTAGCAGTCGCCACATAATTTGTTTCCTGTCACCAGTTAGTAAAAAAGCACCCATAAGCGTAAGATTTTGAGAACAATTAATGGCTACCAGTCTAAAAATGCCAGCCTCAAAATATGTAATATAATATTAAGTGACATCCTTATTTATATACATATTTGTATAAAGTAGTTAGATAAACAGTAAAAACTTAGGAATCAAGATACCAGATGGCGATCCTCCCACAAAATAACTGCAAATAAAGGCAACAGGAATCTCATTGAAGACTCGCCACCCAATATTTTCATTTTTAAGTGTGATTGACTGTTTAACTACAACATACGGGTGCACCAGATTATGTTACCACTGGCATCTCCATAGAAACTAAAGGCAGAGGTCAGGGAGGATTCAACTTGGCATAAAAATATTTTTTCTTGTGTATAAATTAAAGATGGTGTTGTTCTGCCAATAAAACTAATTCTAGGAATAAAACAAAAGATTGCATGGAATGACCAATTAAATTTTGAATTTTTTTGAAGTTTCTGAACTTTCATTTATTTTGTAAAATTAACCCTTTGTTTATTGTTTCTTGACAATTCTATAACTTTTTTAGTACAAATATAGATTCTTTTTTAACATTCTCACAGTTAGATTATGTAGTATTTCATTATAATACCATTATATGCGAAGTTAACTGAGCCCCTCAGTTGCGGCAAAGCTTTTGCAGGCTCTCCATTGAAGATGACAACAGTGAAGAACGGTAAAGTATTTGTAAACATTGGATACGAACAATTACAGAGGCCACTATGAAAAGACTAGAATGGTCAAAGAACCAACAATACGAACCAAAATGAACATCAGAACTGGCCTAAGAATGTGAGAGAAGTAAATAATATTGTTAAATTGGAAAGCATTTTTGCCCTTACAAATGGATATTGCTTGTAAAATTTTATAAGCCAGTGAATTTTAACTCCAGAGAATTTGCATCAGTGATATGAAAAAGAATTTACAGCTTTTAATGAAAGGCAGGTAATGAAAGGATTATGAAATGGCCTTCAATGAGACTGTTGTACTTGCCTACATTTTGTAACGAGCGTTCAAATAAAAACGTGGTCAAGTTGGTTCTGAAAATTTGGACGTAGGGCGTAGCGTATAGCAAATGAACTTAAACGTCATCTGTCAAAGCGCTATATCGCCGCTATCAATTTGAATATTTTCGTTTTAAAAAGCGTTTAAAATGGTGTTTTCTCAAGAACAAAAAGTGTTTATCATAGAGTCCTACTTTAGAAATGGACGCAAGATTGATGGAATATGGAAGTATTCTATTGAGGAATGTTTCATAGAATTTCAAAATCAATTTCCCGGCGTTGTTGAGTACAAAATTATTCAAAGTGCAGTTCAGCGTTGTGTTAATGTTTTTCGTGAAACGGGCAGTGTAACAAGAAAAGAAGGAAGCGGCCGACCTAAAAAGCGGTCTGAAGAATTAAAAGAAAATGTCCAACAAATAATGGAAAATGCGCCAAGAACTTCTATACGTATTTTATCACAAATGGTGGGAGTATCAGTCGGTACCTGCCACACAGTGTTAAAAAAAGATTTGCGTTTGTTCTCCTATCGTTTAACTTGTCAGCAAGAACTTCATGAAGTTGATTTTCCGCGACGGGCTGTATTTTGTGAATGGTTTTTAAACAACTACGGTGAACTTCATAATATCACCTTTTTTTCTAATGAAGCCTGGTTTCATTTAAGTGGTTACGTAAACTCACAGAATATGAGAATGTGGTCTTCTGAAAAACCAGATAACTTTTTTGTCGAGGGCCTTCTACACGCTCAAAAAATTGGAGTTTGGTGTGCTCTCAATCGAAGGAGGATTTATGGACCTATTTTTTTTAATGGTACTCTTACTGCGCAAAGGTATAGAGAAGAAATTATCGCTCCTTTTGTTAACCAGCTGGAAGAAAACGAAATTACAAACTTTTACTTTCAACAAGATGGCGCAAGGGCACATACGGCAGGCGAGACGATGAATATGTTGAGGGAAGTTTTCCAAAATCGACTAATAGTCATTAACGTTATTGAAACTGACAGCTGCTATACAGCTCGTTGAGAAATGAGGTTATGTTGGTCGCTATAAGCTACTCCCTATGTCCAATGTGTCAGAGCCAACTTCGACCACGTTTTTATTTGAACGCTCGTTATTTAGTTAAAACTTTTAAAGCATCAGGTTTGTGAAGAAAGTTTTCAATGTTAAAGAAAGTTTTTACTGTAAACAAGATTGATGATATTATCAAGATTTGTACCTCATCAGAATAATATTTTTTATTATTGTACAATTTAGTGATAGTAATAAGTATCTACTGAATTGTTTCTTGTAGATATGGAATAACCATAGCCTTTATGAAAACACTGAATGTTGGACATATGCGATTTAAGGATGATAACAAAATTGGCGTGCACCTACCGATTCATCGATTTTGAATAAAACACCCCACAAATTATTGTCTACATGCAATATAAAACAATTCTTCAATACACCAACAAAAGTAATATAAAAAAATATTTATTTCATGCAAATGTCATGAATTAAATGTTAAGGGATTGTTAATTATTTTTTTAAAATATATTTGGAAGGTCGAAATATCAAATAAAATTAAAACCAATAGAAACCTAACACAGGTAAATTAAATAACAAAGATTTCCCTATTTGTTATTCCTAAAATACAATAAATTGGAAATCAATATTTTCAAGTAAATATTTGCAGCGACATTCATAATTACATTTAAAGAACTGAACTGCATTCCATGACAATTTCATTATTCAAATGTAAAAGTATTTATCTAACTGAGAAAATTATTTAAGAAATATATATCAAAAACTAGAATTAAAGAAGTTATAGAACCTTTACATGTAAAGAAACAATAAACAAGACCGCAAATATCAAATAATTTTACCGTCAGGTTCAAAAAATTGCAGTGCATATCGATGAATTCTACAACTATGCTGGTGATAACAAATAATTGTATGCCAAGTTGAACGTATATCGAATTTTCACCTATGGCTAGTACTTTCTAAGAAAATCTCAATAAGAATGTTAAGGTGCACACACTGTATATAAAAAAGGGTAATATATATTTTGTCATATAAAACAGAATATCTGTAATCACGTTTTATTTTTAAAGAAGAATTGGAAATATCTTATATTTAAATTTTTAGTACGAAAGATTATAATAAATAGACAAAGAATATTTTGAAACTAACAAAATTTAAACCACTAAATAAATATTACGAATTATATAAGAATTAGAATCTGAAAGAATACTACAAAAATTTGATATTTGAAATACAGTAAAACTCGGTTATAGCGAGCATTCACGGGAACGCAAAATTTGCTCGTTATACGCGAGTGCTCGTTATAGACGTCGCCGTCGCCAACTATGCTGAACATTATTGGACACATAATTATAGCTGCATTGCACTTGTATTTTTATTTCCAAACATATAATATTATTTATCTACATAACATAGATACGTATAACTGTAGGTAAGTTACATTACATAGCATTTATTATTATTAACGAAAAAATTCTGTAATTATTCTGCACCACTCTTTTGCTTAATATCTCTTGACTGATATTTCTTTGCAAACGATCAGCGGCATTTAAGAACTGCTCGTTTTCCGGATATTTGAATTCGACGTATGATACTATGGTTTTTAATGCAGAGATGGCTTCATGTGTCGAAGGATCTGTAACCTCATCGCTTCCCGTCTCTTCTTCATCACTTTCTTCATCTATTGATGGGTTAATCGCTAATTGTGTGATTTGAATTTCATTTGGGAATTCAGCCACTTCGAGATTTTCGTCTACCATGTCGTACTGAACTAAGTCAAAGATGTCAAAATCGGATATGTTGTTATTTCTACTAGTCATAACAATTTTTTGCGTTCATTTGATGTCATGTGCGTAAAAACTGGTTCTACGATAACTCGTTATAACCGAGATCACTGTTGCGCGGGACCAAAATAAAAGCTCGTAATAGCCAAGCCCTCGTTATATACGAGTTCGTTATAGCCGAACAAAAATACACGTGTTACATAGGGAATTCGGAAGGGACATTTCAATTTGCTCGTTATAACCAAGTGCTCGTTATATCCCCTGCTCGTTATAAGCGAGTTCAACTGTATTAGAAATCCCTGCCCTTAAAGAAATTATGCATTCTTGGACTTTTTAAACTGTATAATAAAAAGGAAACTAACAGTATAAATTAATAAAACAATATACCACACCCTAAAGAAATACTCAATCTATCTTACCGCATTCGTAGTCTGTGGTGATACCCTGTTAGCCGGTATGAGAGATTCGGCATCCACAGCATGCTGAACGACATACTGGCCTCCGGTTGTCGTATACCCCACCGTACCAGTGACGGCTGTTGTACCCGAGTTAGTCGCAGCATAGTACTGGCCCTGACCCTGACCAGCATTGGTTATTGGGTACAATGTAGCAGATTCGCCCACCGTGTAAACCGGATACGCCCTGAAAGTATTTTGTTACCCAACAACGAAACTGACGTATATTTCACATGTACTGGACCCTCACTTTGAATGTGGATTGTAATAAAAATTGTGGGGTGAAACGTTACAAAAAAAAAGAAAAGATTGACCGTTTGTTAATATTTTTCCTATAGAAGTGCTAATATTTTATTTTTAAAACGTGTTGAGTTATGCATTATATCCAAACCTGTCAATTTTTTAAGCCAATCCTCAGACATTGTAATGTAAAATATATTCAAAGCCAGCATTTATAAAAATATTTGAACAAAATTTGGGATGCAAGTAGAAATATGTATCTATTTTAGACATTAAAATTTTTATCATAGTTGTAAAAAAAAAATTATGTTCTCATTAAGATTTGCTATTTCAAATAAATACAGAGGCTTTAAATTGTTTTTGTTTGACTGCACATTTCTGGTGGTATTTTATTTATTTTCAAATAACATAATTATTTTTTATTGCAGTTATTTTTCGTGCACTTTATATAGTCTTTCCGATATCAATTGAAGAACCAAGAGATTGACAGTATGTACCGCGTCTACTCTAAACATCAAAACACCATCGATCTTTGCTCGACATAAAGTTATAGTTTTTCCTAAGTCAATTGAAGAACCAATATCTTCAAGGTATGTACCAGGCTCGGGCGCTAAGCAGCAACTCGGCATTGAAATATTTGAAAAACTTGTTCCCATATTTATTTAGCCATCATATACAGGTCTGGTTGAACTAAACGTGGAGGTGGTAGAAATGTATACGCCAGTTGAAGAATGCGAGTGCGGGCAAAGGAAAACAAACACAGCTGCATTGGGCTACTGGGCAATAAATCTCAGCAGTTGACAAGTGGTTGATGGATTACCCAGCAGTGCAGTGCAGCAATGCGGAATTTGGTGTAATTTTAATTTATTATAGGCACCTTCTATCAATTATTCATATTACAATTGCGAAAGTGAGAAATAAGAGGGATAATTTGTTTACTAATATTATCACAACATGGCATTTTGGAGACCTTTTGAAACTGAACAAAACGAAATTTACCACCAATATAATAAAATTGTTTGAGGACATAAATAATTAAAATATGTTGTTGGCCAAATGAACATTGTAATAGAAATTTTCTAAATAATTATATACAAATTATTATAATTTTTTACCTTTAGCAGAAAACTTTTTTAGGAACGCCTATGAAAGTCATTAAATTTTATTGCCAGGCGTTTTTTTGCATGTTCAACTGACTTCGGAAAGACTATACCTTATGTACAAATATTTTAGTTTGATTATTAATGTTTCTATTATTATAATATTTTGTATTCTGTATTGTTGTATATTCTACTGAAACCAAGAAGTTAAAAGAAGACATTCGAAGAAACTTCAAAATACGAGATTTCAGTGAAATAAAAAAATGTCTTGGTGTAAGAGTTAGAAGAAACAAAAAAATAAAAGGGTTTATCTAGATCAGCAGAAATGTCTTGGAAATTTGGAAAAGATGTAATATAAAACACTTCATAGCCGATAAGTATACCTTTCCAAGCAAATCCAAAGCTAGAAAAACCGGAAGAGAATGATGAGCGATATCTACATCAAGAATTAATAGAGATTTTAATGTGCTTGTTGTTGTGTAATCATCCAGACATCACATTTTCTGTAAATCAGTTTAAGTCAATTCGATAAATGTCATGGAAAGAAACAAAGAGAATTAATTAGTGATTATAGTTTATGTTTCCGAAAGGACAAAGAGTTAGATCAAATGATTCTTGATGGTGATAAGAGTAACTGTACTAAACACAGGCGTTCCTGTACAGGTTTCATTAAATTACCTGCAGGTAAAACAAGATAGTGTTGCATTGTGCACAACAGAAACTGAATATATGGCACATGAGAAAGGACAAAAGAAGCTGTATAGTAGGAAGAGTTTACAGAATTGATTTTTTCAAAATTATAAAACCGTAGAAAGCACATTTCAAAAAACTAATATTTTGTAATGAAACTTGCTGAGCGAAAGGAAATATCTGTGGAATATTTGCCAACAGAAGGAATATTAGCGGAGCGGATAAGTTCTGTTTAATCCTAAACACAAGGTGTGTGTAAATAAAGTTGTAAGTTAAAAGATTGTACAGCTTAAGTGAGGGTGTTTACATTATTATACTCTAATATTCTGTATTCTGTACCGTTCTATATTATCACTTTCTGTGGTACATAATGTATATATCAAGACTGTAAACAATATTTGTAAACAATAAATGATAACTCTTATGAGGACAAAATAAAATAAGTTGAGTGAAATGTCTTTGAATATATGTTTCCATCATTAATTATATCAAAAGAAGAAATTAGTAACAATAGTTAATAGTAGTGAAAATATTATGAATTAACATTAGAAAATATGTTTCAGATATTACAAATAATTTTCCAATAAAGAAAAGTTGGAAAGATACTTGAATATTCAGAGGATAACTAAAATAATTGGCTAAATTCATACAAATAAGTGTTCGGAAAGCTTAATTTTTGAGATAGTCTTATAGATATAAAAAAATTCATATTTCAAGTAATTTTGACTATTAGTTTCAGAAATTAATACCCACCCCAATAATATAGAAAATAATATAAACATTAAGTGCATCTTTTATGTTTTCTTCTCACTAAACTTTCCATTTTCTCAAACCAATAAACTACGTAAAACAATTCAAATATAGACCAACCAATAGAGAGTTTTTGGCACATTTAAATATTACAGCAAATTTCATGAAAAATTTGAAAAATACTTAGTAAATGAAAATTTCCCCAGCAAAATCGTGAACAATTTCTTTTTAAACAATAGAAACTGCAAAAAATTAGGTTTTTTTGTTTTTTTTTATAATATTTCGTTAAATATTGATGGAATCATCTTACTCTCTCTCAATAGGAGAGAATAAGAAAATGAGAAAATCTATAAAATGATTTTTTGTGCGACCAGATCAGTTCATTTTTTACAGAGAAAATCCGGAAAAACCTCTAAAATAGACTTTTTTTCAAAAATTCATAACACCGTCAAATTTGACGCTGGAAAACTAATCTTGCAGAAAATGACAGATAATAATATGGAGTTTAATCGTGCGCAAGATGGTTTCTGTCCGATGCATAGTCTTTACACAATTGCATTATAAACAAATTAGGGTCTTTTTTGCACAGCGTGGCGATTTATCAAAGATGGTCCGATCTAAATTCTGAAAATGGCATCTGAAAGTAGACGACAAAATCTTCAATTTGTATATCTCGGATTTTCGCCTGGGTGATGAGAAATATGCTAAAAATGTCCTTAAAAGTCGCCCGAAACAATCGAAGAGTTGGGTAGTGGTAGTGGGGGAAGCAGCGAACAGAGAACTCTGGCTCGACCGTACTTTCGATGGTTTCGGGCGACATTGAAGGGCATTTTTAGCATATTTCTCATAAGCCAGTCCAAAATCCGAGAAATACAAATTAGAGATTTTGTCGTCTACTTTCAGATGCCATTTTCAGAATTTAGATCGAACCATTTTTGATAAATCGTAACGCTGTGCAAAAAAAAGACCCTAATTTAAACCCTGTTTATAATGCAATTGTGGAAAAACTATGCATCGGACAGAAACCGTCTTGCACACGATTAAACTCCATATTATTATCTGTCATTTTCCGCAAGATTGTTTTTCCAACTTCAAATTTGACGGAGTTATGAATTTTTGAAAAAAGACCTATTTTAGAAGTTTTTTCGGATTTTCTCTGTAAAAAATGAAGCGATCGGGTCGCACAAAAAAACATTTTATACGGTTTTTTATTTTCTACAAAAGTCCTATAGAGAGTAAGTTTTTATTGTTTAAAAAAAAATTGTTCATGACTTTGCTGGGGAAATCACTTGGGTTTTCATTTACTAAGTATTTTTCAAAAAGGAAATATATGAAATTTGCTGTAATATTTAAATGTAAAAACAGCCTCTTGTTTCGCTCTATTGGTTGGCCTAAAAGTTGATGTGTCAAAGATGCTATAATTAGAATGTTTACATTATTTTTTCCTAAGATTTAAAAGTGAGGGGCCAATTGAAACATAACTCATAACAAATAATACTAACACACGTCAAAAAGAAAAATGAAAGTTGACATGAAAAAGTTACTCACATTTGTGCTTGCCCTCCATTTGTCTGCGTTGCATAGATTTCCGGTTCGACATACTGGATATGGTAGCCTTGGTGAGAAGCCACAGTGTCTCCCTCAGCAACTGAAAAAAATTAGAGACGTTAAAAAATCGCTAATTTCAATCAGAAAACATGATTTTTACAACCAAAGCTGTTATGTTATGAGCAAATATTTCTTTTTCTGTTATTAAAACAAAGAGAAAAACAGTCAACGGTCTGATTGAAAGTTTTTAAAACACCACGAATAAATATCTAAGACTACAGTTCTATTATTTGAAAAAAAAATAAAGAACTGGTTCTCATGTGTTATAAATTAAAGGGAAAAGTATTTGTCATTATTATTAAAAAACGTGGTTTACTAAAAACAATTCCCGAATTTTGAAACAACCCAAAAAAGATTCTTGATTTTAAAACAAACTATTTTCGAGAACAATCAAGGTTTCTAAAAAAACTTTTATCATGGAGACTAAAACCAAAAAACAGAAACCATTTACCGTTGCACCTTGGCTGGAAGCACTTCTGATTGTTAAAGAACATACCGCACAGAGATCTACCGATCAACTGACATCAAACACCAAATATTGGCCAGGTTAATAAATCCCTTATTGGGCAGACAAATAAGAGACGAGCCATGCGTTAATAATGCGATCACAATGTGTTGTATCCCCTGTGTTACCCTACCTGTTACGTGGAACGATACATACACTTAATATCACAAAGAGTTGCAGGAAAAAAGAGATTAGGATGAAGGTAGCAGGAGGATCCCCTGCTAGTATCAGAGGTGTAGGTAAATTTCGGTGACCGTCGATATCCGTCTATCAAATTCTCCAAAAAAAAAAAAAAATACTGAAATGATCACAAAGTTACATGATTCAGATGTTTCTATGTAGAAAATCATTGAAAGATTTGAACACTACGAGATCTAAAAAGGTTTGATGGTTAATCCCTTAATTTGCCTTAAAAAAAATGTACTGTGCTTACGTTCACAAAAAAAAAGGAGAAAACAATTTATATATTAGTTTCAAGTATTTAGTATTTACAGTGGAAGATACTTGTAAGAATATAAAATGCTTCGAAAGTCACACCTTTATTTGCTAAGAGATATAATAGAAATATTTTGAGAGTCCAAACTGCTGTATAAAAAAATGGCAGGACATGTATTAAGGCCACTAAAACCTTTGTTTCAAATTGTACAAAAAAGCAGAATGATTAGTAATTTCTATTCTCTGAGAGTTAAAATACATTAGGGTGGAAGGTGGTAAACGATGAATTGAAATGAAACCAAAAATTAGAGACATGGGTTATCTCAGATTAAAGGAAAAAAGAAATTATCCATATCAGCTTAGGTAAACACATTAAGCGGTTAAAACAATATTTTAAGTTTTAAAATATGATTTCTGCCATAGAAATTTTTATAATCCACAAAATTAAAACTTAAAAAGAGGAATTGAGGAATATCGATGACATATAATTTCTTTAAAACATATGATTTGGGATAAAACCCTATTTTGCCCCAGGAGTTACACCAATGACGAAGCATCGGTATATTAAATAAAATAAGAAACATGATTCACCTATAATCTGATATGCTCAGGTGACGTGTGTCTGGCGTATGTCCAATCAGGTGCAAAGCCCCATTATGTATCACATTGTATCTGTCAAAGGGGATGATGTCGATGGGGTGTACCCAATCAAGTTAAATTAGTTTCTTTTAAGAGACTTCCAGTAATTAAAATGGAAAGCGATGATTTTGAAACCTAACTATATAAAAGCCTAGCTTTAATAAATCAGTTTGAAAAAATGGATGTAAAAAAATTACAAAACTTTCATTCATTATTTAACAAATGTGTAAAATGAAGAACATATTTTTTTTTAAGTAGTATTGTTGGCCTGCTAAACAGATATAGAATAGAGCATTACTTAGCAACTGAATAAAAAATTACTTCTTGCAAATGCCACCGAAAATAAGAAGCAAGTTGAACAGGGTGCCCTATAATTAGAGGCGTAAAACTGATGTTTATAAAACTTTGTTCAAAATTTAATATACAGGCAGCTTTCAAAGCTAAAACATTTCTGCAACTCTTTTATTTCCTGAAATACTAGTACAAACTATATAACACTGGAGTATTAAAACAAATGACAAACATCATTATGATTACCACTTACAGTCGCTTGTTTTTAAAAGTCATGGCTAACTAGTCCACAAAGATTTAAAGTTATATTTTTATGCCCCAAAAATACTAATATCTGAAATTGGGCTGAACATTTTCTTAATAAAAAAGAAGAAAAAAAAAGCCCCAAAAATACTAATATCTGAAATTGGGCTGAACATTTTCTTAATAAAAAAGAAGAAAAAAAAAAACAAATGATAGTTTAAAAACGTGAAATTGTAATACCAAAATTTTAACAAATTTGATTGAGACCAAGAATATTAATGCACATTTTGTCACAGGGCACCCTGTACGCCCGTCATACGGGTAAAATAATACACGAAAGCATGCCTATATTCGATGTGCTCTTACCTACGGCAGGTTGTAATGGTGTTAAAGAGGTGTAAGATCTATTCGCTGCTTCTGTGGTTCGCATTGAAAATATCAATTAGCTAGAGTTAGTTTTAAGTTCAGACAAAAAGGTGGTATATTCGTGGGTTATGGAAGTGTGACATGCAATACTGTGCCAACTCAACAAAAAGAAGCCAGGAAGTTAAAGTTAAAAACGTTTAAAAACTTTCACTGGTAATCACCTACACTCCCCAACTTTGTTTAGCAGGAAGAAATAATCCGGTTTTTCTCATCTCATGATAAAACTAATTTTGGTTATACAATTCGAATCACAAATTTAATACACTTTTTAAGAAGTTGTAAACATCAAAAAATGTGTAGATATTGAAGGAGTTATTGTTATATCTTGCGTTCAACATAACAATTAACGAGAATATCACTTTTTCTAAAAATTAAACAAAAAGCAAAACTATAACTGAAAATTCAAGGAACAGCAAATATTTTAAAGTAATACGTTTAAATTTTGTTTTTATTAATTCTTAACAATTACGTAAAAAAAATGTTTCAGACAAAGGGTCACAATAAAATTTTACATTAGCAGCAATTTGCAAATCCAAAAACAACAAATGAAAAAAATCGAAGAAACTATTCATGCAAGGTACAACAAACTAAGAGGCAGACAAACCTGTGACGGTGATAAAATGGGGCGAACTAGTCGCAATGGGATCCGTCTCGTGGCTTTCCCCCTGCTGTTCTGCGGTGGCGCTACTTTCGTTGCTGGAATCAGCTGCCTGTTCTAAGGCAGACACATCAATGACTGGCACACCATTTACAATTGTTGCCGCAGTAGTAGCCGTCTAGAACAGAGTTACTGTTTAACAAAACAACCATAAAAGACGAAAAGAAATCTAGAAAGTACAAAAAAGAAATTATGAAAAATGAACTACAAATAAAAAAATAAAAAAACCTCGCAATAATATTTTATACTTTTGTTAGAACATCAATGAAAATACTCTTTATTTAACTGTGCTTGATTCTTAACAATGTTTGTCGTACTATTTAGCTTTTTTCTAGAAAGTGTTATTTAGAATGTGTGACAGACACTGAATACTTCAATCAAACCAAAACAAACTCACTTTCTGCTAAATACTCCCAATGCACTGAACCCAATTGCCTGTAGTACTCATCGTAAGGGGACACTTGCACTTTTTTTTCAGTTTGACCGCCCAGAGGGCTTTGAAGTGATCAATAACTGGCGGAAGAGTCGTTCTTACCTGGTGCAGACTGGCAGGGAGCACGATTAGCTGTGTCTGCTGAGGCTGAGCTGGAGGCGTAGTCGCAGGGGCCGGAGTGGGGGGACTGCTGCTGCCTCCTGCTGCAAACCGAGCTGTCGTTGCCATGGCTGCGTCTCCAAGGCTACTCCTGCTGCTGTCTGAAAGAGCCAATCCAGAGGGTAGAGTAGGGACAGAGATCTCGGACTGATGCTGCGCATGTATCGCTATGTATGGATATTTTTTTTTTTAATCGAGGAGAATACAAAGGATTATGAACACAGTGGGGTTGACGGGTGGAGGACAAATATGTAGTTTTACTCATAAATAGAAATCATCGGTAGAAAACGTGGAAAACTTATAAAGTGAAAATTTACCTCGGATTTACACAAAATTAAGAGATACTTGCACAAATTAAGGACAGATTCTAGATCAAAAGTTAATTTAAAAAAAACTTCTACAAATATGTGTCTGGGTTCTTTGGAAAAATACAGAGTAATCAAAATTAATTACATGTGGTTTATTTCAATTTGCAAAAAACATTTGAGGAAAAAATGTAATTATTTCATTAAAAGATAATGTGATTATTTGAATCTCTACTAATATTATTTAAAGAAAAACTTGAAGTCCACAATATTTTGGCTTACCATTTATCTCAAAAATGGTGCAACAAAAACACATTTTTGTAAAGCCTCTAATGCTCTGTCATAATAATGAGTCTAATTTAAAATATCTTATATAGTAGAAAAATAGATTGTGACTGAAAATTGCACCACCCTCAAAACTTCGCTCTTCTATGTAGAAAAAAATGTACATATACAGGGTGTCCCGAAATTAATGCAAGAAAATTTGGTCACAGATTATTAAGACAAGTTTAGTGTACCCGTATTTTTCATTTTTGCCAAGTGGTCCCCTCTTTCGGAGTTTCAACCCCATGAAATCCGCCCCAAGGAATAGTCTTTTTTTATATCTCAGAACCCTGTTGTATGAGAATCACTAAATTTAGTACACAGGGGCTTTATGACATGGGGAATCTGATAGTGCTATGCTTTTTAGCGGGAAATCCCCTTAAGACAATTTTTCGTGGGTCCCCTTGTCTTTGGAGCCAAAAAAATTTGGTCGCATATTTAAATTTCTTAAAAATTATTCGGTTCGCTAGAAAACCATTAAATTTTGAAACTTTTTTGTCTCTTAGTACTTTTTTTGCAAACGCAATGTTTTTGAGGGAAATGTAATCGAATGCATATCGTGATTTGTAATTTTTCTCAAAAACACTGTGTTTTACGAAAAAAATATCAGAAACAAACAGTTTCTAAATTCAATGGCTTCTAGCAAACTAATAATTTTTAAGAAATTCAAATATGCGACCAAATTTTTTTAGTTCCAAAGACAAGGGGGGCAACAAAAAAGTGTCTTAAGGGGGTTCCCCGCCAAAAAGCATAGCACTATCAGATTCCACATTTGTACTAAATTTGGTGATTCTCGTACAACTGGGTTCTGAGATATAAAAAGATTATTCTTAGGGGCGGATTTTATGGAGTTGTAAGTCCGAAAGAGGGGGCAATTTGGCAAAAATAAAAAATACGGGTCCTCTAAATTTGTCTTAAGAATCTATGACCAAATTTTGTTGCATTAATTTCGGGACGCCCTGTATGTACTTTGTGGAGATCAAAAGATTATGAACTGCATACCAAATTTGAACGAAATTGCTTTAAGTACTTTCTTGTTAATATAAAAATATATATATTTTTTAAATTATTTAATACTCATCTTACAAAGGGAACATATGCCTTTATCTATTTGCGATGTAGAAACGTAGAAACCACCATTAAGGTAAAGAATTTTACTTAGATACTGAATAAAAATTCTCATTTTGAATTATAAAGTTACATAAATTTAATATAACAAGCACAAAATTCACAACATAATAATAGACAAGATAAAAATTAGCTCTAGAGAATAGATACAAACAACAAACCTTAATCATCCATACATTTTGAAGTAAAACAAGAAAAATGCAGTTTTTTAAATTGTGTAAAAAATTTATGTTAATTTGTCATTTATATAGCTTAAAAAAAACAACACACAATCAACAGAATTTGTACAAATAATTTGAATTTGAATAAAATTATTTTTAGTATAAAATTATAAACAAAAAAATGTTTTTTTCATTATTAACAGAATTTAAACATGTACAGTTCTGAAAGATGAGAACACCATTAAAAAAATGTCATAAAAAACTTTACAATAATGTGAAATTGAAAAAAATATATAGTTGGTTTCAGCATTTAAAGAAGTAATACATGTGCTTGACCTGCAATAATTCCATGCAATATTTAGCAACAACTCACTAACCTTTCATTCAAGAGCTCAGAACAGATCAACCACCAGAAGCCAGAAAATTAATCCACAGATTAATTCGATCACTAACAAGCACCAATATCGCTTTTGATATTGTAATCAAACTAGCCACGAGTAAACTAACCATCTACTACTCCCCTAGGAGAAAGTAGACAATCGAAATCAACCCTTATAGCAGGTCCGCATAAACACAAACAAGATAACACCCGAAAAGACTGTTACTCTTTTGGTACTACACCTGCCCTCGTGTGCAGTCCTTTGAAAAAAGGGACAATAAGGGTGATTTTCCAATGAGGTAATTACCTGTACATCCACCTGGATGTTAGATAATAGTGGGTGAGTCATGGCACATGCACAAGGGCTCTAACTTGAGCACTGAATATGGGAAAGGAGAATGATTTTTTTGTGGATTATTCGGGGTTGGGGACTGACACTAGCTGGTACCAAGTAAGGAATACCGAGAACATTCCCCCAAGCTTTGACACAAGCATAACGTAGATATTGAATACTGATATCGAAAATTGATACCGAATTAATTTTATGCTGTAAAATAAAGAAAAGTGGAAAGTAATGTTAATTTTAGACAAAAAAACAAATCACAGGCAAACAATAAAGAAGACTTTACGTACAAATACATAAGTTGAACATAACTAAAATTATGATCAAAAGTATAGATAAAAACAAAAAAGAAATAAATAAATAAAACCTCAAAATTATTGTTTTATAATTCAGTTTAATATACTAAAGTTAAAGAAAAATAAGTGATTATACAGAAATTTCTAAATTAATCTTGTTACCTACTTAATATTTACTACTTTAACTTTTAAGTAATTATCTTAAATTTAAATAGTACAGATTAAAGCATCATCGATAATTAATTTTATTTATTTTAATGACACTGAATACGATAACACCTGTTTCTATGTATGAGTTGAATGTAATAAAAAATATTTTGCAAATATAAATGCAATAATTTACGAGACCTCAGTGTCGGCAGCTCCTACTTTAATTTTTTATTTGTAAATTTTGTTTAACGTTATTTTATCGCGGAAGTTATCTATGTGAGCCTAGAAATCATCCCCTAAAAAATGGTACGAGTCCTATCTTTCATTAATAACATGACCACTTTAATTTTCATCAGCCGCCAGTCATAAAATACGTTATTTAATATAGAACGCCAATATGGAAATAAATATGAAATAGGAATTAATTAAAGCATAACAAATAAAACAATATGCAACCCAAAATAAGAAACCACACCTCCAACTCACGTATTTAATTAATTACGAGGCAAAGAATCCTATTGTTTCTCTAAAAAAAAATCTCAAATGACATTCCGGGAGGCTACAATAAATTTGGCCAAATATTTCTTAATTGTACACAGCCAGATAACCATGTAATTGGGACGACGAAAGATATGAGCGAGAAAGTATTGCTATAGCGACACTCCATGGCAACTGAGTTCGGGGTGAGAAGCATTTCAATGATGTACCACTTGTCAGGAATCAATGTGGTGACCTGTTCGCAACAATGTTGAAAAAACCTCATAAAAAGCAACAGAAATTGTAAAAAAAAAATGGTAACACTTTCGCAATTTCAAATAACATGTTCATAGCAGCAGAAAAAGAAAATAACCAAATATGTAGGTATAATAAAGTTTTGTAGGTACAAGTACCTACTAACTTTAAGAATTTAATTTTTTTAAAGTGGATTGGTCAAATAGTCGAATATAACACGCCCTTAATAAATAAGGATAATTTTAATAAAACAGTAATTTACCCCAACCTATTTGTTTCTCCAAATGACAAGATTATTAAGTCAATTTGGTGAATTACGATTTCTAACAAAAAAGACAACTTACATTAATAAGACACACACAATTTAGAAAATTACTCAGTCTTCCTTTGCCCTCTGCTGATCCACAACTGAGAAAATTACAAAATCCTTGTTAGACAGAGAAAATTTGGATTAATGTGGCAAATTACTTTGGTAGAAAACTTTGAGCAATGACCCATTACAATCCACCCCTATCTCCAATTACTAATTTAGGAATCCTTTGATACATCACAAACCAATTTAAGTTTGCCTTGACTGTGTCCTGAAGGACGTAAACGAGAATCATCATAACATCATTAAAACATAAATTACATGACAAATAATTAATCCTAAGAAATAAAATAAGCATTTAGCCCTAGGAAGGAGCCATTTGCAAAATGAAAAAATAAAATATAATTCTTAAGCGTACATCGGAAAAATTATGTACATCTCGCGGCTGATGCTAGAGAAAAACACTCTAGGTGGTGTAAAACTTCTAAGATCAGTGCAAAAATGAAAAATATCCAGTCAACTTTACATTTACCTAATGTTGCTATGTTGTTGTATCCGTTGCTAGGGCAGTCACCAAGGATACGAAATGGGTTTCTCGGTTTGACAGCTGGCAGATTAACCCTCAAATGGTGACAGTTTCCTAATATTTCAGTGATTTTTCTTCAAATAATAACCATCGCCTTTCGGTATATCTCCATTTTTAAACTAATATATTAATAACTCACAGGAACACTTATTATTGATTATTTAACGCAGCTGAGTTGCTTAGTGGCCATCGCCGGCAATAACGGAAACTGCAATAAATTCGGTTTTACGATCGGATGACTTTTAAGCCGCAGAGCGCAAAGTAATCAATAAAGTATACGAAAGTTAAAATAGACCCGAAAGTAAATAGCAAGGGACTCACCTTTTTTAAATTTAAGATATTCCTTCCTTTAAAATAAATCTACACAACTAATATCTTGAGACAAAATCACAAATTGTTGACCGTGGTGGTCATAGAAACACCATTTTAAACTCTAATGTTTTATTTTGCAAAGCCTACACCTAATGAATAAATGAATAGGTATCTTGCAAATTGATTTTTTAATCATTCAAAGAATTTCCGATATGACGTACCTACTTACATTTAATTGAATAAACACAAAAATAATGACAATCATTAAATGGAAATCAGTACTTTATTGAGATTTTAATTTTTGTTACTTCAAAATATTTAATTTGGATTTTTATTGAAATTTGTTATATGAGATTTAATCTCCTATAAATACTAGTGCCATCTACTATACAGTAAACATATTACAACTAGAATAGTTAAGTAATTATCCGTATACCTGCTAGATGGCAGTCACATAAAAATCTGAAAAGAATTCCCCAGTTTTGTATTCCGTTCTAACTTATCAAGGAACAAACTCGTTAAAATCATTATTTTACAAATTGAATATTAGATAAGAGATGTAATTAGATAGAACTATATTTATTTCCTTTTTTAACTAACTGTGCTTATCTCATTTTTTTAAATAGGTATCTCAAGTAGGTGCGTTCGTAATATCACATACTTCTATAGAAGTTTGTGCGTAATATATTCACAGTGACAAGATTTTCTTTTAACTAGTAGTAGCTAAGCTACAATCTAAAAGCTTATCAAAACTTGTTTTCATTTTATTGATGTATCATGGATAAATAAATTTAATATAAATATACTTATACATGTCCGAAGTGAATAGAAAAAAGTTATATAGCTAGTTATATAAGGTCATGATTTTTATAGGTACCTATTAATAAAATTCTAAAAACTCAATTTCATTTTGGAAATAAAAGTTAAACAAGACCTAGTCTGTTTTAATTATTTGTATATAACTAATTATAACGTGCGATAGGTGAATATATCAATATCTTTTTGAGAAATTATTAGGTAGGTAACTGCCAGTGGCGGCTGGTGATGAAAATTGAATATTTTTATAAATACACGGAACTGAGACAATTTTTTTATAAGATGATATCTAGGCTGACAAAGAGAACTATCAAATTAAATTTGCGAAATAAAAAATATGGGATCTCGAAATGGATTGCAATCGAATGTTTTCATCGTGAAAGTTCTCTTTATTGGCCTTAAGAAACGGTGGGACCAGACTTTTAAAAATGAGACCACCTCAAACAGGTAGACTAGACAAGGAGACCGAACTCATACGGGAAAACTGACAAAACTCGTACAAATTACATATTAGGCTTTTTTCGCGACTGAGTATTGGTCAATATGTAGGTAACTTGTTGTTACCAGTTATATCTCTTTTGATCTTAGTTGTCATATAGTAGTTTAAATTTCTTCACTCACTCATACAGCACATACTACAACATACGACTTCACTCACGAAAAAAAGTCTATAGATTTTACTACTAGCGTCGCTAGTTTTTCTTTTGCACCGAAGTGAATGTAGTACGACACATACGTGTGAAGTAAGCAAACAACAACCAACTCTATTTTAAAATAAATTGAAATAGACTAACCTAGAAATCAAAGTAAATATTGCAATTTGTTTTTAAGAATCTATTAAATAAAAAGTCCCTTCCCCTCCACTATTTCGGTGCATGTGGACACTAGCGCACTCTAATTTGGTAAGATATTTGTTTACATTGAGTTCTTTCTCCTTGTCTAGGCTCCCTGGTTTCATTCTTCGATTTTCACCATCCGGCGATTCGATTCTAAAAAAAATCTCTAAAAGTAAAAACGTGAAATATGCATGGGCGTAGCTGGAAAGGGAGGGCGGTAGTATACACCACCTCAGAAAAAAAGATCCACTAATATCATCTAAGTCGCGAAGTGCGTAACTTTTTTTTAAAATCAAATCAAAATGTGTTTTTAAAATTTTGTATCGGTAAGTCAAGTCTCCGATTTCGTTTACAGGCCTCCATACAGCTTGCAGCTTTGGGCCCACATTGAGCAAAAATCCTAGCTACGCCTATGGAAATATATGAAGTTGCTTTTTAAATTAATTTTTGATTAAACAAGAATATTTGCTAATGTAAATGAAATAGAACGTATAGGTACGTCATATTTAATTTAATTCTACATTTATCTAAACGTCGCATATAGAAAATCCTATAGTTTATATTAAAACGAGAAAAACTAAGTAAAAAGTCAAAAAATAATTTTCGTTCCAAATAAAATTAACATTTGAAAAATGGCAAAAGATTTGTTCAAGTGAGGTACCATAATTTTTGAGAAAAATGAAACCAACGTATCTTATATGATAGCGGTTTACCTAAAGCTTAAATTCAATATTTTATCCACTTAATTTTCAGACAAAATTTCTATATCTTTAATTCATCAGGAGATATTTAGAAATATAATACATTTTTTTGAAAATGTTTAATTTTTTCCATACCTTATGTACAGGGTGTTTCGAAAAATACCGTAAGTTGGAAATTGATAGAACATAAAAAATAGGAATGTTGTTCTAATAAACCAGGGTCCTATCGTCTTTTGTTTTTGAGAAACAGGACGTCAAAATTTTTTTTTTAAACTGAATTTTGACCAAATAATTTTTAAAAAACAATGTAATTCAATAAAATTTGGTACAGGTAAGGTTTTGAGGACACTCAATACGTCAGTGTTATTAGTTTTTGACCATCTACTAGAGATCGCTAGCTACGACCTTTTCCAGTGACATTCTATGATGATTTCTTTGATGTTAGGCTTTTTACAGTGTATGTTAAATATAATGTAAAATTTTATTTTAGGTACATAAAATGATATTCTGGTTAAAATTGCTAAAAATCACCGTTTTTGATAAAAACGCAAACCCAAAATTTGATATAGTTCCTCTTTAACTTGCAAGGTGACCGAAACGAATGGGCCATACTTGAAGGGCTTTCGTACAATTCTGCTTCCTAAAATAGCATTAAGAAGTTATGTCAGTATTAAAGTTAAAATGAAATTTAAAAAAATGGAACACCCATAAATAACATTTTAGGGAAGCAAAATTGTACTAAGGTAACTTGATCTAGATCGGTTTATTTTCATTCGGAAAGTTACTCTTGCAGTATGATTTATTCGTTTCTGGACACCCTGTATATACCTACAAGCTGGTTGATTTTGGGACAGAATTTGCGTCCTTCTCAAAAAACGGTGCGTTTCCAGCTATTTCAACAAGACTACTTTTGTACTTCATTTTACATAATACGACATATTCTGCAAATATCCTAACTTATACAAATATTTGCATATGTCATAAAATTCACAGGGAAAGGTCATAGCTAACGATATCGTGTTCAGAAATTAACAATACTAATGTATTTAGCTTCTCAAAAACTTGTCTGCGCTAAATTTCAATGTATTCCATTGTTTTTGCAAAAAGATATTGCTAAAATCCTATTTGACACACTATATCTCAAAAACAAATGACGATAGGCTGCCTATAGAAAAAAATCGTCTTTTTGATATTCTATCATCTCCTGAATATATGATACCTTTTTCCAAATCTCCCTATGTACATATTAAATATACATAAAATTTACATAAAATGTATTTTAATCGATAACTTTGTCATCATTTTATTTTTATCTATTAATTTCATCTTAGCAAAATAGTCTAAAATTTTTCTAACACCAAACATTTATTATATGAAACAACCTTCTCGTATTAATAAATAAAGGCTCTGTAGAATGTTTTCTTTAATTCAGACCTCAAACTTTTTACGTAAGAGCTATCCGGTAGTGCGGTAGTACCTTTTTCTACACAAAAATGTAGTATCACTTACAAGACATTTTTGTGATAGGAATTAATTAATTAATTCGAAATTTGTATTCATTTAAGTATATCTGGTTATTAGTTATTAAAAATAACATCAGTAGGTAAAGTTGCAGTTACGATTTGGAAATAATTTTCCACATATTTTTCTGTCATATTTGGTAAAATATTACTGTTCAACTTTATTGGATATTAATAATCCCTTCTTTGGGCTAATAAAACTTTTAAGTGCTCCATAATCTGCATTATCACGTCGGATAGATAAACGAGAACTTATAAAGCTCGCCAATAAAAACGTTATGGTCATTAAATTAAAACGGGCAAATATGAGGTCAGGGTGAGTTTTTTTGAAGAGTAAACAGAGGGCGGTTTCGCGCGCTATCAGGCCGGTATAATAGTTTGTTTATTTTCCCACTGTTCACCGGCGATTTCCCGACAGCCCTGTCACCTTATCCATCCGTACTTGTGCTTAACATCCGCGCTCTTCTATGCAAAACATTACAAAGTAGATCAATCTGTGATCCTTGGGAACGCATGTCAACTTATCCGAACCCATTAGAAAAAGTTAACAGCACGTTCTGAAATTTTAATGGTGCAGAAATGATGGATAAGACATTCGTCGAGTGATCTGTGGTGTTTATATCGTGTTTTGTTGACCAACAAACATCGAAAATGACCGTGGAAGAAAATAATTTATCGGTAACTACTAGTCAGTCGCCATCTTTCTGGTGAGTTTTTCTCGTGCGACTTATTTTAAATTTAATTTGGGATAATTATGCTGATTGACTGTTGAAGTTCTGTGATTTAAAAGTGTGGAGTATTCGACAATTGAAGGACGGATTTTTAACCTCCGGAAACCAGAGGTAAGGCGATTTATTTACGTCTTTTTTGTACGCCTTCCATTCGATCTTCCACACACAGACATCACTTTTATTGTAAATTTTACATCTATTGTGTAGCCATCATGAATCCACAAAGACCCAATTAATAAAACATTTATCCACTCACACATATTCCATTTCCTA